GAGAGAGAGAGAGAGAGAGAGAGAGAGAGAGAGAGAAATGTAAAGATGACGATGGCACTGATAATAACTACGTTTACGATTATTTTAAGGAACATAAAAGTGACAACAGATAATAAGTTTTAATACACATCAACAAGACAATTTGCAAATTAATTTTGACTAATGATAAAAATGGCATAAAATTGTTGAAGATACTCTCACGAGGCCTCTTTCTACAGAGTGGGTCGTTTTCAACATAGGTAAATAGAATGTACTCATATTCAGCTAAATACAGTAAATTCCCATTTGAGCTTAAATGTTACCCTATATTAAATGTGAAAAGAATTGGTCCCTGTACTAATCCTTAGGGAATGCCAATGACAATAGAACGTTCAACAGTGTAAATAACTAAAATAATATTTCAATTACAATACTGAAGTAAAATAATCGGAACACTTACCATAATGAACTAGCAAAATTTTCAAGTATAACAAATCTTCTCCCCTAATAATTCAAGTTAAAAATGTATTCTTAATACAGAAATTAAATCAACAAGTCATGAAAGAAAACTATCCTTTGGAAAAAGCTTGCACACAATGAATTATATTAAAAGAACCAAAACACGTTAGAAATAAAAATTACAGTATGTCAAGAAGGCCAAATTATAATGTATTTTGCGACACTGATCCATCATGTTAAAGAGCAACTAAAAAGCTTGGAGTACTTAAACTGGCAAACTAATAGAAGTACATCACATATCATTTGTTTAACCAATTTCTTAATATTATAAAATTGCAACTTTTTTTCTAACACCTCTACAATCACTTTAAGCACTCTTAAAGATTGAAAGTTGAGGAAAAAATTATATTTTATTTTTGGAAATTCTAAAATTTAAATGAAAGTATTTTTCCACCATTGACTTCAGTGTATAGTATCCTACAAATTCTTCAGCCTAATTGGGTAAATTGGGGGCTTTCTTATTTTCGCTTAAACAAATATTTTAATTTCTTTTGTAAATAATAAAGAATTTACATGTTTCTGGGGGGTTATTATGCTTCTGTACTGCAAATTTTTGCTTAGAAAGCAATTTTTCAAATCAACTTCAGTGTTTATTGCGGCTCAACCATTCGGAATATCCTTGTAGTTTATTAGACAAAATGTGCTTAAAATTGTATTAAGAGCTTATTTGCAAATTTTTTAACGTTCCCTCCCTGGGCATTCGGTTTACATAGGATAAAGAAAGGGAAAAAAACTCCTCTTGGAATCTAAGTCCCACAAAACATGTCAAAAATCAACACTTTTTTAAGCATTACATAATTTTGTCTATACTGAGTACAAAGAATACACAAAAATCCCTTGAATCTATGCCATCAGTAATACATTTGTTAGTCGATTAATCGATCACATTTACAGAAATAAAAAATAAAACTATGCCTAAATTACAGCCCCAAAAAGAATACATCTAGTTTAAAGACAAAACCACAGAAAAAATCTTCCATGTTCGCCATAACAACAATTTATTAAAACAGGAAAATTAAAATTCTTGCAAAATTACAGTAAGAAATAAAGGATAAGAATCCTAAGCAACAATTTAAATAATATAGCAGAACAATATCCACATGTTACCTCCTCATTATTCCACTCTTGCACTTCCATTCTGAAATAAAACCAGTCAAACAAAATTTTAACTGTAATGGAAATTAATCATTGACACGTTTCATGTCAGAGATTAAGACAGTTTATTGTCATACCTTTAAAATCATAAGTAATTTATTTGTATAAAAATTGCATTTAATCAAAGAATTTTAAGAAGATTATGATTTTTTAAAAAAAATAAGATTATAGACATATGTTAGTTAAGCACAAATCAGCTTTATGCATCCTGTACATCCATTTTATCACATTTTAACAACACTTTCGAAATGAAGAAACTTGGAGATACTCCGCAAACAGTCAATGGCCAATACCTAGATGTTTAGCTTACTGCAGAGTAAACAAAAATTAATTAAGAAGGAATCTGGTGAATTCCTCATTTTAAAAAAGATTTTTTAAAACAAAGAACCACTAAATGATTCCAAAACATGTAACATACTTGCGCATTTAGTTCCTCAATCTTGCTAGAATCATTGCTCTTAGTATTGCTAGCACTTCCAACAGTGCGATTTTGAGGTCGTGTCGGTTGCTGCACCTTTGGACCTGGCATCATAGACAATGCAGAATTACCACATGTTGGTCCAGCATTGCCTGAGACAAAAAGAAGCCACCCACCAAGCAGTGTGCAAATCAAAGCATTAGGAACAGAACACAAGAATAACACAGAAAACTCAACAATAACATGCACCAAGCACTAACCCACATCATAAGCACAACAAAAGCACTACAATGATCACAGCAGCTTAAAAACCACAATTAAGCATGAAGTAGTGGCATGAAAGTTAACAATGAAATATTATGCAAAGAACACTAACCCAGTCATTGTTAGTACCTCGAAAACCCATGTCAACAAAACGTTAAAAAATTGATTCAAAATAAGTTATGAAATGCCAAACACACATATACACACGTGAGCACACATGCATACACACACACACACACACACACTGAACCATTCAAGATTTACATGATCTCAAAAGGGTAAAAACTGTTCCATAACAATATTGGCTCTGTGACACATGAAATGAAAATTGATTTTAAAAGTTTTAAATACTTCACTTTTAAAACACACTTATGAAAATATTTTATTACCTACCCGACTTTCAATTATGGAAACACCGTTATTTATGTAAAACCTAGTATTAACAGTCCCATGAACAATCCAGTTGTTACTTTCACTTCAATGAATGCCATTTGGTTATAAAATGTTTTAATGTTTAAAATATTTTGTAATATTACATGTGTGCATACACTTAAGAGTATTTTTTTTGAACTATTATATCACAAATACCTCGAGAATTCTCATAATCTATTAGTATGATATGCTATAATCTAATAGCATACTATACAATGTGTTACATATAAAATCAAAAGCTTTCTAAAGTAAAAACCCTTACAATTAGGAGTAGATAAATTCACACTACAGAATGTATTCATCTTTGTATGCAATTCCCCAGAATGACGGCTGTAAATTCAGTTGTTAGGACAAGTTTCTTAGCATACAAACACGAGACAGCACCATATTTCAAACAGTCATTTTGAGTAACAATATTGTTGATAAATTAGCACTTTCAATAAATTGCCGAAAACCACCCTCCCCTATCAGAGGCAAGTGATACATGGTTAAGGCAAATTACTACTGCTACAAAAAATTCCACTTTGTTTCCAAAGTTTCTGAAGAGTTCTTAAAGGGGCCCCATTATTCCTTCAGTCTTGAACACCTAGATTAAAAGCTTGCAGAAACCCCATAGCAAAGAAGAATAAGGTAGTCTACCTTCATTCACAATTTTCAGGTAAGTTTAGTTGATTATTTCCTCACTGTGCTCTATTTAAAAAAATATAGATTTCAGAAGTGTTTGTGACAAACAGGGGAGCAATACGTTACATGAGCAAAAATGTCAGATAATTGAAAGGTGTTAAGAAATTAATTAAATTACGCCAACTTTCATTATACATAGTTTAACATTTTACAAAAGTGTGCATGTTTTACAACAATGCAAAAAAATTACACGATAAATTTTAAAAAATCAACCCATATTGATAGAAAATTTTTTTGACGTCTGCTTTCTCAACGAGTGCTGGTTCTTTTGCTGTGCCACCTTTGAAGCATCATTTTGTCAATTCCCATTGCTTTTCCTTGTTGCTCAACATATTTAATAGCAGCCTCTAGAGCTTTCCTTTTTTGTTGCAAAGTGGTACGGTTGTGAGCAACAAAAGTTGACTATGCATTTAATCACATAATACAAAATATCAGTGAAGGTCACATAAAAGAGTAGTTGCATTATGTTTGCACTCATCCCACCCTTCCTCTGACATAAGCAACAGATCATATCAAAAACTAGATTTTTTTGTGCTTCAAATAAACCAATAATTTTAGTATCGTGGAAAACCTATATACATAAATGAAATTTAAAAGAACTTCATTACTGTACTGATATAAGTATCTTGTTCATAAATGAGAAACTAAACGGATTTTAGTGAATAAATGGATGAAATTCTGAAATGATTTTGAAATGCATTTCAGTGATGTTACATAACTAACAAGCAGAGCTCTTTATCTAAACAAGTTGAATAAACCATTAGCCCCCCCCCCCCTCAACAAAAGCATAATATTCCAACTTTTCTAATCTACATAGTAGAAAAATTAAAGATTTTTAATTAAGAATCAATTTAATTTTCTTCAAATTCTCATTGGTTGTGATTTTAGTAAATTCTCAAATCCTGAAGTCAATAGGCATGATTAACATCGTAACACATGGGAAAAAGAAACTATCATCAGTCCATTAATGGTAACCATTTACACTATTGTAGTCAGTTAACTTACTTTTATTCTAGCCCTTCTGTACACTAAAAACTAATTCTTTAGTTATGAACCCTTCGTGAACCTGGTAAAGCATCACAGCACACAAAAATTTGAACTTAAACTTTGTAAACAATGCCAGCATGGTGACAGCCATTCCATGTAGTTAGTTCCATTGTTGCCCAATTCACATGGGAACAATCCAGTACAGTGATTGCAAGTGCCACCGGTTCCAGTATCCCATACCCCTACCTTGTTCAGGACATACTGAAATTGTTAAGTAGCAGTTTCATTTACTGCTTCGACGCATTGCCTTTTGTTATTTAATTACATCAATTGCTTGTGATGTTCTAGGAACTATTATATTTTTCAAAATAAATTAAAGATTTAGTAAGAATTTGAGAAATTACGATCCTAAGAAAGGTCTCATATCATGAATTTCCTTTTTCTGACTGAAGGCCATTTTCTTTGAATTAATGTGATTCATGTATGCACATAAAGAAACCATCTTCCATCAGTTAGAAATACTGTTGTAAAAAAATAGAAAATTAATGGTCAAATAAGGGTAAACACACCCTCCAACCTGGTTGATCAGCTCACTTTTCTCCACCTGGTTGTTCACAGAGGGTTTATAGTAATAAAGTACAATAGTTCACAATTTCTATAAAATCATTTCTTATGAAAGGCTATTTCAAAATAACATTTACTTAAGTTTCCACTTCATTTAATGTCACTTATTTAAGTGTATGAATACTGTAAAATTAACGTGAAAAGTAAAAAAAATTTAAAAAAGGGTCGAAAACTTGCATTTGTTCAAAATTCAGAGAACATAAAGCACCGTACTTACTCATGTTAGTTATGGGAAAACAGAATATTATAATTTCTGTTTAAGATTAATGCATGTAAAATCAAACTCAAACATAAAACACACATCAATAAAGCACACAAGCCATGTATTATATTTAAATGATAGATTGCATATTTAATTTGTTTTACAATTCAATTTACTTCCAAGACTAATGACGAACACTTCCCAAAAATACTAATTCCCATACCACACTAATCACTGTAACTAAAACAAGTTTCTCTACGAATTAAAATGTTTGAAATGTCTTCTACAGAATTACTTTCCTTACCATATATAACATGTGCATCAAAAATATCCAATGCTTAAAGCAGTAAAACCTAACCTATTTAACCATTTTTGGACCTCTCCACAAAATGATTAATTAGCTTATCTAATTTCTTAATTTAGAAATGAAAGAAATATTGAACGAGAAAATTTATTAGAAACATGTTTCTTTGATTCCAACACCTTTCTGTATTACAAGAAATGTATGTCGAAATTGGGAATAATGTATTAATCAATTTTCAATCATCCCAAAATCCTCAGCTTTTCAACTGAATTGGAAATTTATTGGTTTTGACAGAAATAAGCCCAAATACATTTTTAGAAACATGCTTCATATATCTGGTCAATTAATTTCTCTAAGAACGAACACCACGTAGAAGTTACAAATTAATTCTGATGAGCAAATCAAAATAATTGATTTCTGAAATATATACACCAAGTTTACTTTCAATTATCACAATGCACACATGTATTTACCAACTTTCCCAACAGGCTTGGCAGCACTGGCAACAGTTCCTTGAGGCTTGGAGACACGCTCCCCAGTTCTTCCAGCACCTTTCGGAAAATTGTCACCACCTTTACCAAGCTGTTCCCCCCCACGTATTGTAAGGGCATCATACTCTTGTCCCTTGAAGTTTGCATCAAAAAATTTTTTGAACCATTGAAGAAATTCAAAGTTGTCTTGAAATCTCCCCTTGATCAGTTTATCAATAGGTACAATCTGCAAAAAAATTAATTGAAAAAATACAAAATATATTCAAATCAACCAAGACAACAGAAGAAAATTTTTATCTATCCAGCAAAACAAAATGTTGAAACTGAAAATAAAATATAAAATAAAAAACTTTTAAAAAAATAGTACCAAATAAGCTGTGAAATAAGAAAATGAGCATTCAAAGGGTTGCCAACAAGTATCATGTGTCTGGAGCCTTTTAAATTCACAACACCAACCAACATTTATGCTGAACAGCATCCTTTTTTACCCTAATGTAAAACATGTTTTAGAAGAGTAACAAGCATTTGATGCAGCATGCCAAGTTGAAAATGATGTGTCTATGGAGAGCATCATGGTCATGAAGCAAACTAAGCATACCTGAAAATAACACATTCATTTCTTCTAAAAGATCATTATCACTCAAGTATTCAAAACATTCATCATCATTCAAATACAGGTTTCTCATAGGGAAAATTAACATTAACATGCAGTGACTCTACAAAATAAACTTGCTTAGGTATTTCCTATTATCAGTACTTGTCTTAAGAATTTTTAAATGGAGTTCATGTGATTTTAATGTACTCATAGGTGCACAGTTTTCTCTGCTAGAAAGTATTATAAATGTCAATGTTACAATTCACACAAATCTACAAAAACGAATTTGGCTCATTTTAGTGTTTGAATTGTTATTACAAGTTAAATGCAAGTTGTGCTTCACAAAAAAATAAAGAAAATTTGGCATGCTACAATCTAACATACAAACGTCTCTCACATTTTCGATATCTCCCTGTGAAACCTCTAAAAAAGTTACAGTTCAAAACTGTTTCAGAATTCTAAGATTCCTTCCCAAATACAAATTGATTTGTCAGACTTCTGAACTTCTGCTTAGTATGCACAAAAACAACAAAAAACAGTAAATTGATTTAAGTTTAACTTACTAGTTACCCCATCAATTCACTCACAACCCAATTCCATTCTGACAGCTTTCATTCTCAAGTAACTAAGTTCCTCTTTGAAATCAACACTATGCCATTTCCTCTTCCCGTAAAATAGAAGTTTGTTTTTAATTTTTTCAATTAACTGTACAATATGAGAGAATGCTTGACAAGAAAGGAATCCATTTCCAACAACTATTCATGAAATGATTACAACCAACTTCCTCCTACATTTTCTTGTGTCACTTCAATGAGAATGAACATATAAGCTGTGAGGTCACTTTTCCTGGAACAAATATTCCCTGGCTTTTCCCATTTTTTTAAAAGTGCATGTATTTAATTATTCTCTGATAAAATTCACGAAGTATCTCACACTAAAGAATACAAAAAATAAATGTAAGACCCACATCCCTTTAACTAATTTGTCACTAATTTCACTAGGGAAAAGGCAAAATTAACAATATTTTATGAACAAATAAAAACTGCCAAAAAATGTACTGTTTTATAAGAACTAAAGCCCAGCCTTCTGAAGATTCTTCTACTAATTCCCTAACTTTTCTCAGTTTTTCACGAGAGTCACCCTTCTTTACCAACTTCATACTAATAGCATGAAACCCAAAGTGAAATAAATAACAAGAAAACTCTGAAGGTTTTCAGAAACAAACAAAAAAGAAAAATTTGTTATATGTTTAATAAATGATTTACCGAGTTATAAAATTAACAACAACTAAAAAAGAAACAGGTTCAGTAAATTTTGTTTGAAAACTAATTTAAAAGTGAAAATGATACTCTACATTAATAATTTAATTACTAAACATTTCACTTTTCCCTTAATGTAATAAATTCAAACATTAACAACACGCCTAACAAACTTCTTCAAAAGTTTCTCAATGCAATGCATGGAAGCCCTCTAAGTTTCATTAGCAATCTACTTGCTGAAAAGAGTAGATTCATCATCCAAATCCCAAAATGTGATAACAAATGTGACAGGAGATAAGTTAGTATTACTTCATGAACTTCAAAACCAGAGGCTGAACCAGTTATTCAATTAAATAAAATTCAAAAAAGAGAAAAAATGCATTAGTCCTATTTAAGCTCCTCTAACAATCAAAAATACAGGAGACACATTTTATCATTGTATTGAAAAATAACTATTCATTTATTTGATTACTGCATTGACTACATTAGAAGGGAAAAGGTTTGCTTGGAAAAACTTGGAATTGTTGACTTATTTGTAGCAAGGTAGGGATGAACTTATTACACACAAAATTTCATCAATATTAATCAACTGATGCACTAACAAGAAATTATAATCCAGAAGCAGTTATTTTACACAAATTAAGAAGGTCGTGGTTAGTACACCTACTGCAATACTTTCCCCTGTAAATCAAAACAACAGATGGAATGCAAACAACCACATCTCAAAATACTTTATCTACTCTTTTTAAGTGTAGGCAGATCCTACAGCCCAGAATCTCACAATTCCTTCCCCGTTCCCAGCAGGAAGTCAAGACTAGAAACTTATATAATTTTTTGTATCTCTAGTAAATACTTAATCAGCCATTTTTAATTTTCTCAATAGTCATAAGTTTTGTAGTCATGCCCAGTAATTTTTTTTTTTTTATATATCATTTATAATGATGCACACACAAATTGCTGACTAAAAATAACTCAATCTCGCCAACCCCCAAAGAATCATTCATATTAAGTATTACTGAATAACAGAATAATCTGCTGCTTTTTCAAAATTTGAAAAAACAACAACCAACAAATAATTTTTCATACTAAAAATTGAATAGAGTAACTGTTCTGCCCCTTATTTAAAATCTGAAAAACTGTTCCACCACTACACTGCAATATCAAATTTTACTTATAAATAAAAACGTCAAAGACCACAAATATATCAAAATGTAAAATAATTTGACTTATTTTCTTAACCTTTTCTTTAATAACAAATAGGAAAGTATGCATGTAACTAGTAAACAAAAACAATTAATACATGAAACCTACATTGTACATACCTCTTAATAAATATTGACAATTCTCTCATGAACATTGAGAAGTCCATTACACCCCCCACCCCCCGCTCTCTCACCTCACTATCTGTTTACGTTAGTTTTTAAATTTAACAAGCAATTCCATCAGGAACAATTGTTAAATTCAGATCTAGGGCAAACACACCAGGTGCTAATCATGCATTTTTCCATGCAAATATGTACAAGATTCAATAAACAAATAATGCTCTGTGTGGAAGAAATCAAGTTCATGGTTTTCAAAACTAGATAAGATTTATGAACCACTTTATTGCCTCAAACTTTTACTGGCATTTAATACATTAGAAACTTGTAGCCTCATCAACTAGTCCAAAACAGACTCAAAACTAATCACAAAATTGGTTGGCCTTAAGCTTACGTATTATACAAGGTGAGTCACTAACTTTAGCACCTCCTGAAATTTTTGAATGGTTGAAAGTTATTGCAATGTAGTTTTCACAGAAGCGTGTGAGGGAATGAGGATTGTTTATCTTCATATTCATTTCCATTTTATCATGTGGATTTTACGATGCTTCTCAAACATATAACAATATGTACATCATTGGATTCATCTTTTTACTCGTCATAAGCTAAAAAATACGTAAAATTCCATTTGAAAAAAGCAAAGTTCCTCCAATATCTCTTAAAATACAAGTGATAAAATTGAAATGAATACATATATAAACTATCCCCATTCCCTCACACGCTTCCATGAAAACTGCAATCGCAAAACTGCAACCTTCCATGAACATTGCAATAACTTCAACCATTCAAAAATTACAGAAGGTGCTAAACACAACACATGACACAACCTGTATATAAGAATTTAGGAGAACTCGTTATAATAACTTTGAACCAGTATTATCAAATATACAAGTAAAAGTGTTCTAGGAACAATGTACGTTTGCAAGTGCCTTGAATATGAAAACATTAGTTTCAATTCGTAACCATTCATAAGTGGTCTACTTCTTGTTACATAGACTCGGTTTATTGAATTGACAGAACAACCTTGATACCTTTCAGTACATAAAAGTTTTACTAACTGGAATAAAACACACTTAAAAAAAGTTTATTTTGTTTTTCTCATAATGATTTGTAACAGATCACATAAGCTCTAGGCCAGTCAACTTATATTTAGAATTAGACACAAATAGACTATAATTAACAATTATCTTCTTCCAAAAGCAAGAATTTTTTAAGGTTAATTCCAATATTTCATCAAAACCAAACACACAAAATAGTTTTATTATTAACATTCAAAAGTCTATTAAACTGATCTTCAGACCTTAAACATCAGAAAATTTTCTCTCTTTTTGACCACTTTGAAACAGAAGTTAAGTGCCACATTTTAATTTATCTCCAATTCTATAAAAAATTTTATAAGATTCAAGTCAAAAAAACATTAGATATTTTACAATTATTTTTCTTCTTAATGTATTTCAGTAGTTCAACAACAGTTCAGACATTTTAATAATGCAATAGCTTTTTTTTATTTCCAATCAATAATTCAATCAGCCATTTTACTTGACCTAAACATTTTGTGCAAAATTATTTCTACACAACATTAACAATATTTCTTCCACTCAGGACATCATTTCACAGAGAACTACAGTGCACATATGACTAACTGAAACAATCTGAAATCCCAACACTGAAGACATCAAATCCATTTACCAGGCTGCCTCATGACAGCTGGTCGCGCCTGTGGCCTAGTAGGTCGAGTTGCTAAGACGGGCACCACTGGCAATTGATGGAGACTACCATTCTGACTTCCACTGCCCAAAGGGATGCCACCACGAGCTTCAAATCCATCATATTCTCGACCATCATAATTGGCATCAAAGAATTTTTTAAACCACTGCAGGAACTCAAAATTATCCTGAAACCTTCCCTTAATCAACTTATCTACAGGAATAACCTGAAATAGAAGTCCAACATCAAAATGCACAAGAACTCTTCCAACAAAAACTTCAGAACAAAGATTGTCCTATAACAATAGAAATGAATGAAATATCATATCAATTTTTGATAACTACATCTCTGGTTACAGGCCCATGAACATTAACACCTATATTCCATTTAAATGATAAAGTTTTAATGTATGTATACATGAACTTGTAACAGATTCCTGAAACTGCCTGCAAAAGAAAATGATCAAATAAATATTATACAATTAATTATACAATTGAATTATTTTGTTATTTACATATGAAAACTATGGTTTCATAGTTCCCTGGTCATGGCATTATAGAAGAACTACAAAATTGTATCTTCTTTAACTTCATTGCATTCAAAGGCTCCAGAAAGTTTATTTTCCTATTAAATGATATTAAAAATAAGTTGTTTTTTTTCCACAGCCAACTAAATAGGATATTAACCCTCAGGATTTAGTAACATTTCTTTCAAAATTCTGTACACATATTTGACTAAAAAAACATTTTATACACAATGATACTCTGATTGACAATGAATATGATTAACTGACAATGAACAACCATGAATAGCAACCGCATTATCTTACCTTATCAACATTCATTTTCTTGAATGCCGCTTGCAAAATTTTGAAGTTTTGTATATATTCATGCTCCAAATTAGTCTTGAACTTTATCCTCTTTAAGACAACAGTTCCTAAAAAACAAACATACTATATTAATTTCTTTCTTTCCAATTTAATGTTTCCTCAACCAAATTCTAATACATAACAATAGAAGATTCTCAAAATTATATCTAAAACAAAACTTTACAAAACATTCGTCAACTGGCAACCCCCGACGAAAATAAATTCAAGAGTAGAAATGGAGCAAACACACATTCTTTAAAAATAAATTTTCAACACAAAGACTTGTTTAAAAATCAATATTCACTCCAAAAATAAAAACAAGCAAATCAATAAACAAACAAAAATCTACAATTAGATCTAGTTCCATGTCAAAGCAGCACAAGGACATTGCCATTACATTTATTCACCAGTACCAACACACTATAGCTATTCACTAGGCTGCTCACAATAAAACTACTAATAAATATTAAACATACCAGGAAAAAGCATATCCATAAACTGACAGTATGCCGCTCCAGTACATAATTCTTCTATTTTGGTGAAACTTGAGGACAAACAGTCATTTACCCATGCTAACATATCATGTCTACTAAGGTTTTCTGAAGTAACATTGGTTGAATATACATTTACAGCCATGCTTCAATCTGCAATACATAAGCAGAATCAAGTGTGAAGTTCAATACATCCCTTATTTGAAATATTCTATTTTCAGAAAATAACACATTTATTTTGTCATAATTTGCTACTTTGGAAACTCAGAACTACAATATTTTGCACAAATATACACTATTATTGCAACACTTACTGTACATATGCATACTATTCTATATTGTACGTTTTCTTTAAATATGGGTGATCTGGGCTGTCCGGGTATGCATTCGCATACCAGCCCTGAGGAAGGCCATGATAGGATGGTCGAAACGTCGGCAACACAGCCTTCGACACGGCATCACCCGGACAGCCCAGATCACCCACAGGACTCTGGCCGTGGGTGCCTACAACTTCATTCTTTAAATATGATACCCTACATTATACCAATCCCATATTATCCTTGCTCATAAACCAGACACTTCTCCAAGAATCAACAACGCCCATAGAGGAGAGAGAAGAATTGTGAATGTTAAAATCAAAAGAAATTATCAGAAATTTTTCCTTTTATGTAATCAGACAAATCTCAAGTTACACGTTTAAACATTTCTCAAAATAACATACAGGTACACATTCAGAAACCTGACCTCTTATACACCACTTCCAAAACTGCCAAGTTCCCAAACTATTTTCATTCAGATAACTACTCAACTAGAATGAATTTTCTATATTTTCAAATGACAAAGTTACAGAAACAGTTCCTTGAAAATTACTATGAACTTCAAGACTACACGCATTGAAGTCCACAGAATAATTTCTTCCATCTGTAGAAAATTTCAATATTTTTCAAGCATTTTCCATTCTGCAGAACAAAAAATGCCCTATCACTTCCAACAGCATTGTCTTATTACAATATTCCAGTTACAAGCCAAACAAGTTCATATTTACTTTATCAAGTACAGTAATAGAAATTGGAATCAAAACAAAAAACATACTAAAAATTTAAGCAAAAACATCAGCATAAAGAAGACAGCACAATTACTATCTCAACTAGGACAGGGTGGCCAACAAATTTGTGTAAGATAATTCACTTGCCTATTAAACCTATCCCTAATATTTCAATACTATTCCTTGTTTATAATTACATTCTTCCATGTAATTCCTTAAAGTTATGTAGCCCAATTAAAAAATTTATCTATCTCAATTATTTTATTTTAAAGTGGAAAAACCTGTGTAATAAAACAATCCATTCACAGATATAATTAAATATACATGTAGACAAATGATGAAAGATTCATTTCTGCAGCTATTTAGTTTAAAAAAATCTATCAAATTTCAAAATAATACTACAATTCTCATTTTCAATATTGCATCTACTTTAACATGATTTTTAAAAAAATAAGCTTCATTTAATTTTTTAATTTACACTTCTAAAAGTAATTACACTATCAAAACACCATAAAAATCAATATTCATGAAGAAATAGGTCTTAAATTTTAGTATATTGTTGCTACACATTCCAATTCAAGAATTCAACATGTTACAGCATGTAGGGATCCACCTTAGATAGTAGCGGCAAAGAAATGGAAGACAAAAGAAGGAAAGAGAAGGAAGACTAAATTATTATTCTTTCTCCAGTTTCGAGTTAGTTAATAATATATATAATCTTTAAAACAATCACACGCATTTGTTCACATTTTGACCAGCATTAGAAAATAGGAGTGATGTAATTCAATAATTACCACATGGCTCACACAAAACAATGCTATATTCAACTATATTACTACCAATGCGAAGAATTTACAAGAAACAAGTTTTCATTAATGGGCACTTCCAAATAAAAACGCCTTAAGAAATGAAATTTTTTCTCCAAAATCATTTTGCTTCTTAGAAGCCACTGAAAAATATCTTAACAAGGAAACTACAGACTAGTGTAGGTCAATGACCTCTAAGCACCATAACCACACTATCCACAACATAATACACTTACTATATAAATTTTCTTTTTCTATAAAAAATTGAGATTACTGTACTGAGCATAGTTCAGGATTCTTTGAAAGAATCAGTCCCAAAACCAAGAACTCTGCACATAAATCCACACACGAATTTTGCACATTGTTAAATCATGAACAATTCAAATAAACCCCCAAAACATTCCCCCAAACATTCCTCCAGAAATGTGCATTTCAAATGCCAAAAATACCCATTGGTAATTACTTCTAAACTACACCATACTTTGAATCTGTTAGCATAAATTCCATTTTATATCATGACTCTTGTGTTAATCTCCTGATTCTGGAAACTTATTTCAAATCTCTGAATAGTGACAACTGAACCTATAGGTTATAATCATGACATTGGAACCTGACATCACTCATGTTCACCATGATGTCATTACTGAAATAAGGATACCTCATTTAGTGATTACTTCACCTTGCATTATTTCTGCATTTCCACAATGGCATAACACAAAAGAACTATTTAATATACTAAAGCTTCAAATCAAAATATAAGGTTAAACATTTGTTCCAGAGGAGAAAAAAGTTGTCACGGTTCGTAAAAAATGATAATCCAAAACTTGTCATTTTTATTCCTTTGACTCCGTAATAGTTTCATGAAAAGTAATATTACGTACTAATTTTTTCCGGTCACAATTATCAAACAGCTTTTTGACACGCACGATTCCTTGAATGTAGGATTGCCGTGAACTTCAATGCACACATCACGCAGAGGTATCTTTGGACCGCATCAGACTCTCGACGTAACTTCTATGCAGGATTCGACTTTTGTATACTTAAATTTAATGTTTAATTATTTATACTAAAACAATCTTGACAATTATGGTTAACTTTCGTAAGCAATGAAAGCCACATAAACGGCCAATTTTACGAAGCCAAACAAGTCAACTTCATTATATCTGTAACCGTCCCATATTAACTTACCAAATACTCCACAAAATCGATAAATAAAAAGACACAATGCGGGTAATTCGCAAAGGCTTCCTATTTTCCTCTGTAAATTTAATTATTTTCCTTTCACACTTCGCTCACGCTCACTCACCTCACTCACGAAACAAGGGCGGGTCTTCGACTCTTCTTATAAATGGTCCCTTGCGGTGTCGAGCAAGGAACACCAACGAATGTCCGTGCGACTGTGTATAGACCATTCCTTAAAGAAGTGGAAAGCTAATGTTTAGAGAGCGCCAATCACAAGTGTTCACTTATGGCATGGAATAAATTACGAGAATAATAATTTAAAACGTTTAATTTGAAATACATTATGTTAGTCATTTTGGTGTTGCAACGAAGCGAAAATATTGTATACTTTTGAATTACTTTGTCTTGAAACGAAAAGAAAGTGTTATTTCGTATTATCTATTAGAATATAGCTCGAGTATGCCAATAATTTGGAAAGTATTTGTTTAATATTGGACCTATATATAATCGTAATCCGAATGCTAGAGTATAAAGAGGTTGAGATGAATAAATATTCGTTATTTCTTATTATATATCAAAATGCAACGAAAATGTCTTTTTATTGTGTTATATACAGAAAGAAGCAAATTGTTGTCTAACGAAGAGAAGGCTGGACTGTTCCGAAAATGCCTGCAGTAATCACGAAATTGTAACTGCTTTTATAAAAAATAAATAGTACCCATTAAAGGTAACTACGGTTAAAATTTCTATATTCTAGGGATTAAAGTTAAGAGAGGGGACCCCGAAAACAAACAGACAGAACGGATCTTCAGGGGAACCCCCAAGAAGGGAAAAATTATTTGTAAATAGTATGGAGTTTAGGAGTGCGTAGATGTGTCTACGTGTGAGTGCGGGTTGGAGAATTGAAATGGGATTGGAGTGCTATTAAGAGGAAACTGCCTAGCCACGCAGACTTCCAACATATTTTCCCCTGTTTGTGAGAGCATATATGGAGGGGAAAACTTGTGGGTCAAATAGGAGGCAAGAAAATGAAGGCTTTCCTGGAAATTATTACGAATATATAGCACACGCCAAATGATTTTAAAGGTGAGTATTTGCATAGAGTGCTTCGGTAATTATGTGTTGGACAGACTCAAGGATTAAAGTTAACGCCAGGGCCGAACAAGGACGTTATAATATATGGAGGTGGCATGGCCGACCTTTCCCTTTGCGAAAAATGAAACCAGCCCCTTGCAACTTCGGTTAGGCTACCCGCTAAACAGTTTGCCCAAAAAACCTGAATTAGACCATTTCACCTTTGCATTTTCTTTATTCATATATTGATATTTCCGTAAAGATGTTTTTTTTTAATATAATTATTTGTCATTAATAGGCAGAAATATTCAGAGATAGCGAAACAAAGCTGGAAAAAATATGAATCCTCCCCAAAATTCATTGTCAGAGGAAATATGTTTAAAATTGTTTCATTTATTGTGCAAAGCTGAATAGAATTTAATTTAGTGCTTGATAACATGTATTCTTGAAACAGAATTGTGCAAGGAGCATTCAGAATGTGTAGCATTCAATATACAAGGAGCTGAAAATAATGTCACATAAATTGACTTTTTATGAAAACTGTTAATCATAGTCTAAATTTGACATAAAGTAATTAATAGTTAGTTTATTTGGAATAACCATGAAAATTGAACATTTCTGTAAGGAAATGGTAACGAATTGGCAAAGCAAATCCAAATATATCTTTCAATTCCAATTAATTGCTCAGAACAAGAGCTAATAATGGAACTAAGGAGAAATTCATACACAAGAATAAAATTAAAAATCTGCTCAAATATAGTACTCCCGAAGCCAAATCAATTGGAACATATTTCCAAAACAAATATTTTTCTAATGCAAATTCAATATTCTCTGTGAAAAACAAACATGTATAATTAATATAAATAGCATTTCTTACAGTTCTAATTGTTACAGATCAATTCTAATTGAAAGATTATAAAACGATTCAAAATATTTTTGCAGATGAACTGTTTTATTTATTTCAAGGTTTACATTTGTGACATTACTATTGGGTATAAAGCAAAACAATTTTATAAAAATGTTATGTTATACTTTCTTGTCCTCACATTGCAAGAAGAAAAAGTGGTAAATGTAAAGTTTTGTATAATTTTCGATTTTAAAGCCAGTGTCTTCTTTAGTTGGGTAACTTTACATTACAGCTGATCCTTTCATCCAAGATCTGTAAAGGAAAATGAAGTTATGGCTTTTATCTATCACATGCGTCTTTAACCCTTGTTAACATGCAACCCTATAAGTTTGTTAAGTGCATTTGAACCTACCTGTAGGTTAGGAAATTTAACATCGTTAGCAACGTAAATAAACAACCATCCATTCATCGCAATTCAAATGTTTAGTAAGAAAATATTTGAACAAAAAAAACAACAACACAAAACAAATCAGATCCAAACAATTCAGAAGGAAAGTAACTACTTTCGAATAAGGATCTTTGAACTAAAACAAAAAAAACCAACTGTTTAATTCTTTTGTTAGAGAGCACAGTAACATATGGCTCTGAAATTTGGGTAAGGTATTAACGAGAATTAATAGTGATGAAAACAGTTTTTGGAGAATATGCTGTGGAGCCACGCTGCTTGATCATGTAAAAACTGAGACGATAAAAGGCGATTGAATATGGAAGAATGATTCAGTTATGTTGAAAAGAAAAGATGGTTATGGTACGGCCATTTACAAAGGATGGTTTCAGAAAGACAGACCAAAAAGGCTTACAACTGGACGCCAGCAAGACAGAAGAAAAGAGATCGTGCAAGAGTAAAATGGAAGTGTGATGTAACTGTGGCAATGGAAAGAAGATATATGTTACAAGGCATGCCAAAGCAAAATGGCGCCTTAGATGCGATAAACGGCCAATATAGTGCTGAGAACATCTCTAGAATACTTACTATTAAAGATTTAAAACTGTGTATAGCGAGCTATGAGGAGAAGTGTGCACATTTGTGCATCTGTGCACATTTTCTGAAATTCTGGGATCCATACCCGAACCCACATACAAGTTAAATTCTGAATACAGACAAAATGGGCATTTCTGACAAAAAAAATGATAAAAAATCGCCCCAGTGTGATAAAAAACTATTTGCAAAAGCAAATCAGCTTCAGATTTTGGCTATTATCCCCTTTTGTGCCCTTCGTGAAGGACTCGAGGAGGACTTCCTACCGCGATAACATGGAGAACGATAATTTGAATAATTATATTACCAACAGAACTCAAAGACGTGCACAGATAGTTACATGTATGTCCAGAAGCAAACCAAGGGGTCACCTCAGCCAGCCAAACCAAGGGACCAGCTCATCAATAGTCATTAATACATTCAAAATCATTGTTAAAATGAATATTACTTTCCTTTCTGATACTTTGTATAGTCCCTAATTGTATAGAAACAGTATATGCACCAAAACAGATTTTACTTGGCCCTAAAACTTGCCTATAAATTTAATCATTTAATGTCATCTGACAATGAGTTGTAAAATAGTGTAATACATGTTTTGTATGTGAATTTTTTTTGTAGTGGGTTGATACTGACATCTGATGAATATGATTACATCGAGTGTTATAGTTATATACTTGGGTTTTTATTTCTTGGCGAGTGAGGGCCTGTCTTCATAATGGAATATCTCGCGGCATTACGCGTCTTTCTCCGTCGAGACGCTAGCGATAGTAGTTTGCCAAAAAACACTGATTCGCAAATCAAGAGGCAAGGAAATGGTAGTATTTCTAGCACAATAAAGATAAGCCTACAAGAACCACGTGGGTGGGATGAGCTTATACATGTGTACAATTCTTTTTTTGTGATATAAACGTCTGGGAACTGCCATATCTCATAAGGGAACGAACATTCGCAAAATATACATAAATAAGCAAAACAAATTATACACGCGAATTATAAACAAATGTTCTATAGAAGACAATTAACTAGGGAAATATTACGTTTCAAGCTCTAAAACAGGTTTTAGATCGCGGTTAGCATTGTTGTTCTGATCATACAAAGATGTGGAAAGTTCGTTAGGTCGTGAAAAAATCATGCAAAATTCACGCGAGACAAGTTACACTTGGATTTTTATTTCTTGGCGCGTAAGGGCCTGTCTTCACGATGGAATATTTCACGGTATTTCGCGTCTTTTTCGGCCGTGCCACTTGATGTCGCATGATCGCGACCGTATCGAGCAATGCAATCATGCGACATATGGCGGTACGTCCGAGAAAGACGCCAATTGCCTTGAGATATTCCGTCGTGAAGACCTCACGCACCGAGAAATAAAACCCAAGTATAGGACGCATGAAAGTACTGTGGATGATGTAGAAACCTGAGTGCCACTTTTTTTTCTATACATTTTAATGCCTTCTCATTCAAAGTTGACTTTCCAAAAGCATACAGACGTAAACAATAGATTATTATCCATCTACATTGCATGAAATAAGTAATAAGTAAGAATTATATGAATATAATATAAAAATAAATTATATCAGAATTTCAATGGCGATATCAACATCTACGGAAGCTAGAAGAGGCCATTTGCTTAGTCAGACGGTTGGACTTCAGTAGGCAACTTTGCAAAATTTTCAAACGTTCTCTCGTGTCTGCGTGCAAGACAGACACCACATCCAGTGACAATAAATAACATATTCAGCGTTTTTGATTTTCTTTGCGGTCCTCATCACGACAATCCTCTCCTACCATCTAAAAATACGCGCACAAGTCAACATAAGCAGATTACGAAGCGCCTCAATACAAAAAGTATAGCAGCGTAACCTGTCACTTGAAAACAAAGATATTCCTTGTGATTCACAAAGAAACACTGCAAAGTTATTACGAGTCCTCACGAAATAACGAGTAAACATGACAACACATCTCAAATACTACAGTGGTTCACCACTGCGTAATGCACTGCCCTGGCACGTCAATTGATTTTCTACAATTGATTGTCTACGAAGAATACGCTGTGCTATTCACAAATTCGAAGATTCTAGGGATCTGATCACGTGAGTCAGAACTTCCTCAGAAAAAATATAAAATCTCTACTGAACATTCTGGCTCACTTTCATTACATCGAGAGAGGAATATGTGCCCCGTTATCATTTTATAAGTTATAAACTTCTCGACAAACATTACGTTAATTTATACTAACAAAACGTTTCATTTAAAATAATTTTGCAGTGTGGGAGCACTGGCTTATCACGTTCGCAGACAGGACGAGCCAGGCGATGCCTGGCCTTGCAGCGGGTGGGAGAGTAACGTCATCCATCCCCAGCTATAACCTAATACCTAATACCTACAGTTCAGTACATATCGGCTGCGGCTTCCCCCTGATCACCGCCTGCCGCTGGCCCAGTGAAGAAGATGCGTGCGCAAAACCCAGGTCCAGCGAAGATGTCAGAGCTGCGGGTACAGCACTGCAGAAGCAGTAGCCGACGCACAGATCACAGAGGAGTGTACAGTGGGTGCAATATTTTTGATCATGCGACATAGGGTCCATTGTATTTTTAATTTTCAAAATTCACCAAATTCTCATGTTTGCTTACCGTAGCAGTGCTAGGGTTGAATGCACGCCACTGCTAAAAATGTCTCCACAATATAACCCAACCGTTCAAGTACGCACTGCGGCACAACATCCAAAGTCGATTTTCTTTAAACTGCAGAACAATTTCCTTTAGCATATTGTGCTCGCCCACTTTAGGTAAAACTGCCACAAAAGTACAACCAAACTACTCAAGAACGCCCTGCAGCTGACCATTCAACACATAATTTTTAAACTGGCGCCTAGAACAGTTTATTTTTCAACGTATTATGCATATGATTATTTTCTATTTAGTATTTAATTTCCTTAAATTAGGTGCACGTCAACTTAATGTAAAAATGTCACAACAATAAAACCCAACCACTAGGACGGCATTCAACGCCTAATACGTTTTAAACTCGCTAGCTGAACGCAGTATCTTTTTGACATATTATGCATATGATTACGTAGTATTTGTGGATATATCCCTTGGATTATGTGCTGATAATCTTAAATTAAAAACGTCCCAACAATTCTACCCAACCGACAAGTAGAAACTGCTGCGGAGAGTTTAAGGCCTAATAATTTATAAACTAGCAAGCAAAACAGTTCCTAATAATAATAATAATAATAATAATAATAATAATAATAATAATAATAATAATAATAATAATCTCCACCTGGAGAGTACATGACCTTGTAGTTGGAGTCTGAGTATCTCAATGACCTTGAGAGTACCGGCGGATGAATAGGTACTGGTAGGGCCTCCCTAGCCGGACAGGTCGAAGGAGTGAGATGAGACTAAAAAGTACTCCAGACGAGGAAGCAGCGCTTATCTCCAAGAGCGGCAGCTGCCAACGTGATATGGGATCTTTGCCGGGGCAATCACAGACGTGATCGGTTTGTAATTTACTGAGTATTTATTTGAAATATGTTATATCACCTGAATACGATTTACAATAATTACAATAAACAATATTTACCCGTTACCAGAAGGAATGTCCCTGGTCACCACCACCGCTGGCCTGATAGTTTGATATCTTATTCGGTGTGATGCACCAGTTGCCTATGTGAGCACACAAGCGAGTATGCCACACCTCCCGTCTCGACGTAGCTTGCCGGCTTCAGTTCCTTGCCTCAGTAGCCTATGCATTGAAATGCAGCGCCGCGCGCAACCCACACGACTTCTTACCAACGCCCCCAAGAATCAGAAGAAGGAGCTTAGGTCCGGGGTCCGTTTATATTACCTTCTGGGCCGGCTGACGGAACTGCGTCATCTCGCTGTTTCCGCCAAAGCGTTTCCATAGCCAGCCTGTCTACGGGGTTCACAAGTTTCCCCCAACTGGTCTACGGGGTTCACAAGTGGCCACCCACGACACGGCACCCCTTCCCTTCCGCTCCCTAGGTTTGCCATTGTTCCTTCGTCTCTTCCCGCCAGCGCTGTCGCAACTATTTCCTCGTGCATTGCATGGGCATGAAATGCACGTGGCTAATATTTTGTCACGTTTGTACAAGACGACTGATATGACGCCACAGTGGGAAAGCCAACGTCTCCGAGGGCGAAAGAAGACGCAAGAGTCCTACCGGCTTAGGAGGCGAATGATCGGACACCTTAAACTTCCTCTTAAGGGAAGGAAGGGCTCTTTAGGCAGGCGAAGCCAACGCTCGTAGGGGAGTTAACCCTAAAGAAATCCTGCAGGCCCAATCGCAGCTAAGTGGCAGCCCTACTACTGTGATAATGCTGGCGGTAGCGTTAAAACGCTAGGGGAAGGTGACCCCGAAAAAGAAACCCGCGATGAAAGGTACGCTAGGATCAACCGTTATGGTGCAGAAGATCGGAGCCCCAGTACCGGCAGCCGGGGGTGGGCAAGCTGCCCCCCAGCGGTCGTCATCCAACGACTGCAATGACAGAGACGTTGACCACTTGGCGTCTCTGTCAGATAATGCGTCAAGTGAATCTCCGGTTCAAGTAGAGCCAACGTCTGGAGGGAAAAGGAATGATGTGGACTGGACGCCGGAAAGATGGGAAGCTATCCAAGAGCCGATGAAGGATAACATAGAGATCATAGAACGTTTGCATACCCAGCTGTCATTGGAAAACAATTGTTAAGAAATAATCCTGTGATAGTAAGGAAAACTTTGGCCACAGCACAAGAAACACTAAAGAACAGATAGCAGGATATCAGTGAAGAGCAGGAGTGGATGCATGATAGATTGCTCCTCCTGAGGAAGGGTGACGTACATGTCGAGAATACAAGTCATGGCAGGAAGAAGGACGGTGCCTTAAAGGACACAGCGCAAGAAGTAGCAGAAGAGAAGGGAGAGTCTTCAGAGATTCTGAGCTCTCTGTCAATTACGAAAGAGAAAGTCAAGGCAAGAGAAGATAAATATGATGCTACGCGAGAACAAAGGAGAAATAGGGCTGCACCTAGTCCACCAGAGGAGTCTAACAGAAGGGACAAGGAAGATAATCAGAATAATCACGGAGGAGAATACTCCTGGAGGATGCCATGAAAATCAGCAGGAGGAGATGGAACATCTGAGATGAAAGGTAGCCAAGAAGAGGAGCGCTGGGAAGAGCGGCAAAGAAGTAAAAGGAAAAATAGCCAAAAGAAAGAAGAGTATAAGTCAAGTAAGAAATCCAACACAGCTATCAAGGCCACAGTTAGGCAAGGTGAAACATACGCAGACATCATAAAGAAGATGAAGAATGCCGTGGTTCCTAATGATTACGGTACGAAGGTACTGGCTGTAAGGACCCAAAAGGTGGATGTGCTCCTTGTACTAGAAAAAACTGGCAATATTGACGCGTTGAACGAGGCTCTGGAGTAGGCGGTGGGGGAACAAGCGACAGTGAGTGCCTTTACGCGGAAACGCCGAGTAGAAATTAAGGATATTGGCGAAACTGTCACGATGGAAGAGGTACTGGAAGCGGTGAGCAAGACAATAGAAAATAACGGCATACTTCTGTAGGTTACGTAGGGGATATGGAGGAATGCAAACAGCCACAATGCTACTTGGCGAAAAGGTAGCCCAAAAGCTCATAACGGCAGGAAAAATTAAAATCGGCTGGGTGAACTGTGTAATCAGAGAAAAAAATATATTAAGATGTTATCGATGCTTAGGCTTTGGACACATCTCAACTGTTTGCAGAGGTCCCGATCGCAAGTAAAGCATGTTACAGATGTGGCAAAACCGGAATGGTATCAAGGATCGCACTGGTAAACTGCAGTGTTATATTGAAGGATGGAAACAAAGACGATAATCATCTCTTAGGAATTAATAAATGTACCTCCTTCATCAAGGTGTTCACTAAAGCCAAAAAGAGAAAGTATGCTCCGATTCCTACAAGTTAATTTGAGTAGTAGTAAACGTGGAATTTGATGCGAATTTGATTGAATTTGATGCTGCAGGTCGCTGCTTAAAGGGAGGTTGACGTGCTGCTCATCAGCGAGCAACCTCACTGCGACATGTGGTATCAGGATGCTACTGGAAGAGCCGGCATAATAATGCATAATAAGACGCTGAGTATCACGAAACACAAGGGAACGAAATACGGGTTTCTATGGCTGGAAGTGGGCAATATGAGAATTTATAGCTGCTATTTTTCACCGAATGATACGCTAGAAAAATTTCAGAAAGATATGAGCTGGAGGCTAGCTTGAAAACGTCGAAGTGCGATGTGTTAGTGGCAGGCGACATGGTAAGTCGTCTGAATGGGGAGAGACGCGCTCCGATAGAAGAGGAACTATCATAAGTGAATTCACTGCAAGAAATGATTTGATCATCTTAAATAGTGGCGACGAGTACGCCTTTCAACGTGGAGCCGCATAATCAATTTTGGATTTGACAATAAGCTCCACCAAGCTAGCTAAAAACATCGCTGATGGCAAGTTCAGGCAGGGAATACAGTACAAAAAATATTTATAGTAAAACACACTTACATTGTGGAAGTCAGCGCTGGTGTAGATATTTATGAATAATGCACAACTCATCTAATACTCTGGTCACCAAAAGTTTTCATGCATTACTATTAACTAATTTGACTTCGCTAATTTCAGATCTGAGGTTTGAAAACTTAAGTAGGTTCTGAAAACTTTAGTTGTGTGTGCGTGCGTGTGCGTGTGCGCGCGTGTGTGCTGTTGTTTTTTGCCATCACCATATGTCAAAATTTTAGTATTTCTCATGTGTCTGTAAAGAAATATTTGACAAACTCTCTTTAAATTATCTGAGCAATTAAACTTACAATATAACATAGTTGAGATACCTTTATTGGTATTAAACGATGTTTCCAGTTCCTATATAAATGATCGTTAAACATTACATCTGTTACTATAAGGCAATGATCAAGTTAGCAAGAAATACGCATTTCAAGCTATGCATTTGTAAGCTTCAAAGTTCTCCAGGAATTCATGAAGATGAATGTACACGAAAGAAGTTTGAATCTCATGTTTTGTCAAAATTCATGTGCAATGCTCACAACATATAATCTAAGAAATAGTTCCCCTCGAATTCACAACACTGCTGAAGAGTTGAGGATTTTTGAGTCAGACAAATGCTCATGTGCTTCTGAAAATGTTCCTTCAGTTTCATTCAGCATTCGATAGCTATTTTTCTCCAGATGGAGTAAACCCTTCAAAACTAAATTGTTAGGTAATGGTAGTAGAGAGAACAATAAATTGAATTTATGTATGGAAAGCAAACATTTGAATTGCATGAAACCTAAAACTTGGAAGATAATTGTTTTCAGATTCAAAATCAGCCAATAAAAAATATTCAGAACCACTAAAATATCTCATGCAATTGAAAATCTTATAAAATTTCAAAAAGATTGTCAGCCAGTATTTTAAGTAATTACATTATATTGACAGCAACTATACACAATAAATTGTCAATCAAAAAGTTGAATAATTACACAAGTTTTAACTATTTCTAGTCTCAAAAGTTTAGCTGTTTTTCTGTTTTTTCAAAAGTAACCAAATGGTTCAAAATAACATAAACTCTCATAAAGCCAAGCTTGAAACTTAAATATTTGGCATATACGACTCATAATGCAAGTAATGGACACTTGTTATGCATGTTCTTATTCAATATTATAAAGGAAAAAATTGAACATTAAAGAAATCATATCATTTTCATTCCGTTTCATTCAAAATTAAAATCATTCATCCTTCTCAATACTAATTTAAAACTTTGTAATATTTCAATGAATCACTGATTTTTTCCCTTTAAACTATTAGCTGCTTTTTGACCCCCTGCCCTATTTTTTTCTTGCACTGTAGGCAGGAATAGTCTGTTCAGCATGCTGGACATTTGGTCGTCAGTTTTCTCGGAAATAACATATTTTATTCAGGATATCTTAAGAAACATCATTGTCAAATACACCATCTATCTTCTCTGACATCAAAACTTGAGTAGATGTGACATCAATTACTATAGAATTAATAGATGAACACAAGTCTTAAAATACTTTAAATTCACTTTTTTAAAATATAGGAATTAAAATTCATAAATATAAAAATTATCAATAAATAAGGATTGTTTATACTTCACTTTCTAAACAACCATAAAGTAAATTTTTCTAACCCGATAAAGCACCTTCAAAACGGTGCCAGTACTGCACATAGGCAGACAGGGTGCTGCATTTGGGCCCCTTAAATGTGATGGACTGAAAATTCATTAGTAAAACCAGACAAGGAGTAAAAAGTGTGGAAAAAATAGCTTTGTCACCATTTAATAAGTCGCTATAAAGTAATTGATTTAAGACAAAATTTGCAATCACATTGTTAACAAGCAGGTACTTCTGAAGCTCAAGAAAACATGGGCAGATGGTCCTTCTCCCCCTTATGTCATAAACTTTTTTATTGTTCTTTGATTAAATAAATCAAACTATAACAATTTTGCTAGTTATTAATTAATATATTTATTAAATTACAATATTAAGTAATTATTATGATATAGTATTTTTTGATTTTTTCAATTTTTTTAAGGGAGTCCTTAATTTAAGTTTTTGCTCGGGGCAAATAATTACCTATTTTCAGCATTGCTTCAAAATTACCACCAACCAAAACACCATTTCATTGTTTGTCATATACAGTAAAACTTGCTCAATGCAGAGGGATTTTTTCCCATATTAGACAAGATTTCCCATTACGCAACATACAGTGTAGAATTTACGTTTGGCAGGCCTGCGATTTTTGTCCACATTAGACAGATATCAGCATTACACACGTTCTGCTTTGAGCACGTTTTACTGTAAGTACCTTTCATTTGTGTTTACTATTACCAAAAAATTCTAAAAATTAAAGTTTACTCATAAAGAAACCACAAACTATCAAATAATAGTAATGGAATATAATATTTAATGTGATGGACAGGCAAATTGTGTTAAAAGTGTTTTTTGGCTACTTTCTACAAAAAGAAATTATTTTTTCTTGACCACTTTACCCCTTCCCATTTTCTCATTTTCAATATAGAGATATTGTAAATAGTTACAATCAAATATTATTGACAATATGTCCAGAACACTGTACACACAATACTAACCTCACTCCAAGTAACACTACCCTATATACGGGCTTCCAAAATACGTCCAGATGGTTGGACATTAGAACTAACGTCGTTCAGTAGGAAGAATTGAAATATAAATCGTAAGTATTTATTATATTATAAATATTTATTGTATTATATTTATTACATTATAATATATTTATTATATTATCAATTTTCCTTATTATGAAATAATTAATTTGTTTTATATACTATGATTATTTTAACTTAAAATCTGAAGAACAAGATAAGAATTTTGACAAATCACAAATAATGTGAACACAAACTTAAATATAATATCGTCATTCTAATGAGCAAACCTCACAACTCCATATTGCCTTCTCCATTTTCTGTTTACTTCATGATCAGATATAATTATGAAAGTAGAATAATAAATAAAATAACAAATCCAGAATCTTAAATAATTGAGTTCCCCAGTATTTATAAGTTTAACAAGAAAGGAAACTAAACTTCTCCTTCCTGGCTATGTTCATTCATTACATTGCAGAACTGTCCAAACTGGAGTTACGAGGTATACTAATTAGTATGACAAGATATTTTGAATTATTTCTAAATGAAGCTTCATTTGTAACAAGTAAAACACTGATACTTTCAGAAATATTTAAATGTTTAGGAGAAATAAAGACAATTTCTCTGTGGCTAGACAACACACTCAAATGTACAAAATATATTGCACACAATTTAAATAATGCAGGACTTTTCAGGTACACATTGTTGCAATTCTTATGTGGCTTACTTCTCTTTATCTAAAAATTCAGCAATGCAGAAACAGTCGGTAAATGAGGAACTTATTGAATTTTTCCTGTTTCATTTTCTGTCAAGTGTGATTTTAATTCACGTTCCCCTTCAGACTCATCTTCTGATATGTGTAAATGCAATTCCGGTTCTTCTTCTGAGTCATCTTCTGATAAATGAAGTCGTAAGTCTGGTTCAAAATCTGCCTCTCCTGTCAAATGTAATCTTCGTTCTACATGTAACTCCAATTTGTCATGCATCTGGGTATGATTATTATTTGACAGAGGTTGCCTGGTAAAAACGTGGCATGAATTTAGATTCGATGAAGTCTCTAACTTACAACTGTCATCAACCATAAGATCCTTTGAATTCTGATCCACATAAACATGTGCTGAAAAACAAGTAGATAATTTATCATTATCAAACTCATTAGAAATTCTAACACGTTTACCAGAGTCAGATTTGGATTTCCTACTGGAATCTAATGTATTACTTTCTTCAGAAATGTAATATATGGTATTTTTTAATGCACAATCTGATTCCACATTCATATCCAATGGCTTTTTTGTAAATGTATTTTCTGGAATGTTCAATGACACTGAATTGGGGTGCATTTCACTTAAACACAGTTTTTTCATAGCATCTGAACATTCAGCCTTCTGGATGGCTTCAAGAATCAATGAATTTCTATATAAATTATTTTGTTTGTTATTATTAGATTTCCTCTGAATTTCTGGAGAAAGAATTTTTTCTTGAGTAGTTGCATTTGAGGGTCTTAATTTTACACTTGACATGTCACAAACATTAGAACATGCATTGAAAGTATTACATGATTTATTTACTTCTTTGGTATCTTCATTTTTAAAATTACTAAAGGCATGTTCAACAGAAGCAAGAGTTAACTTCGGCAGTTTAATAAATTCATCATTTTGTACAGTAGTACATAAAGAATTCACAGTTGAAAAGCTTTCTGGCATGTGTATATTATATGTAGATGATGAATTTTGGTTGTTTTGTTGCATTTCTTTTTCTCCATTTGAATATCTACTGTCACAATGGATTGTATCAGAAGTTGTATAATCATCCTGCAAAATATTTCCTAATGGATTTTCATCCCCTATCTCTGAACAGTTCAAAATTTCAGTTGTTTTTTCATCAACATTTCCTGTATTTTGTGAAATGGTACATGTTTTCGTCAGAGTATTTGAGAAATGTACATCACCTTTAGAAACTGAAGAATTATGTAAAAGGAAATCACGAACATTTTCACCTGCATTATAAGGACAATCTTTTACACCAGCTCCTACTTTTTCAGTCAAATAGATAATTCTTTCAAAAACAACATTCTCTGAAAAATTAATTCTATCAAGGGTATCACTTTCAGGATTAACTATAGTGCACGGTTTATTGCTACTTTTTTCTGGATTTTGAAAAAGTTTTCTCGCATAATGTGTGGGTGAGGAAATCTTCAATCCTCGTTGAACACTTTCAGACAAATCAGAGTTGCATTCAGGAGAGCAGAGAGATTGTTCCCCACATTTAAAAGATTCAGAGTATTTTGGTGAAAATACATTAATTATTTCCTTACATTTCATTGCAGTTTTATTAGAATATTCGATTAACACTTTAAACTTTCCATCCAGTTGCTGTGCTATATCCCAAACACACTTTTTAATAACTTCTCTTTCAGTGAAATCTGTATAGTTTTCTGGAAGCGGTATAGAAAATGAAGAATTTATACCAAGACATCTTAGTTCCTCCAAACTCTCATTTGAATTGGTTATACATCCTATAGTAGCAGCTACATCATTTAAATGGTCAACCATGAAATCCTGTAATAACTTCGTTTTCTCAACTGCACCAAGTTTTTTCTTTTGTGACGTGTTACCATTCTTCATGGGATAGCTTACTCGCTCAATATACTTCGAAAGAAAATTCTTGTACCGAGACTTCATTGAGTGCCATGATCGGCCAGGAACAACATGCTTCGACTCCATTCTTTGCCATAATGTATTTCCATTGGCAAATCCATATCTTTCTTTTTCAAGAATATAATAAAGAATGATTGCATCTTCAATGAAAGTGTAAAATTTACCGTTCTTCCTCCAACCTCGTTGACCTGGTGATAGAAAACCTACAGATTTCTTAAAAGGACTACGTGTCATGCTCAGTGCGAAGTAGCATCTATCAGTGTCTGAGATATCAAAATCGTCTAAATGTGGATAAATATATTTATGAAACTGTGTTTTCATACTTTGCCAGGACCTACAACAAATTCTTTCCTTTTCCATCTGTTTCCAGATCGTATTTCCTTTCAGGAAAGGAAACAATTTCTTTTCCACAATGTAGCGGATTATTAAGTTACGTTCTGCATCGCAATAAAGTCTGTTGCCCCTCGAATGTTCTTGTAATTCTCTCTCCGAATCCGAGGAAGCACTCTCATCATTATTTTCGTAATTAATCGAAAAGTACCTACTAAGCCCACCTTTCTGATAACGCTTGGGTAATTGCCGAACACAAGAGCGAACTGATTTTGAGACATTTTTTATTTTAGCACAGTTATTTTTGTTCGTTCCATTCAAAGTAGCACTGATCTCGCAGTTATTTCGAATAGAGGCGGGCATGTCCGTTTGTGACAACCATGATAAAACTCTCTTTTCGGGAGTTTCAGTATCTAAAGATAATTCCATGTTGCCTTGCTTTTCCATCGAACTCGCAAAACACACACAAAAGCTAATTTTTGAACTGTCTTGCCATTGTTCTAATTTCACATGGAAATGAAACTTTCACATTTATCCATCCCCAACTTGACAACGTAGAGTAGGTATTAACACGTGCAATCTCTTTGCATTACAGGCTGATTATAGGGCAATCTTAGAGTATCCATGGGATGTCAATTCAAAATGAACACTACAAACTCTTTAAATAGAGTGACTTCTGACATAGAATAGGTGTGACACTGTTATCCAATCGGGATCTTCAATTCAAAAATGTTTTAGAGATTACTCGATTGGAGCCACCGAGTGCCCTCTGGAAGTCACTCGAAGTATACTTATGCATTTCACGATATTTCGAAAGTGTGCAGCGCACCTATAGGTTACGTACGAAAGCAATACGGAGGCAACGAATGAGGCGGGTGAAGTTAAAAAAGGAACATAGGATCGTTTAAATTTGTAGAATATACTGAAAATTGACTATATTTAAAAAGAGTAAAATTTAATTTGAATTTTCATGTGTGTAAAAAATTATATTGAGGGCCAAACTATCTATCTCGGACTTCATAGCAACGACAGCGTTAACAGGTAATTTATACTTCGATTTAGATTGACTTTTGATGAACGATGGTAGCTGATTCCAATCGGGAGCTTAGTTACGACACAACAAACAACCTCATGGAAGGCCAAGGCACTGCACGGAAGGTACCCCCATGAGCTAGGTAAACCAGAAGTCGACATCTCTGCGTCGCACGCATGGCTTCAGCACGGGGATCTCTTTCCGAAGACGGAAGCCTTCATGACAGCTATCCAGGACCAAGTGGTGCCAACATTGAACAACATAAAACACATTCTGATAGATTCTACTATCCATTCCTACTCGTGTAGATGTGAGGCTGCTAAAAGGCTATCGAAACTATCCAACACGTCACAAGTGGATGTTGCGGCCATGCACAGTTGGAATGCAAAAAGAGGCATGATAAAGTGGCAAAGCAGATCCACCAATTACTGGCATTGAAAACGGGCTTACTGGCCACTTCCGTGCCGTATTATAAATATGTGCCTCAGAACGTGCTTGAAAGTAGTGAGCACACTCTACTGGGATCGCTCCATTATCACTGATAGACACGTCGGCGGCAATAGACCCGATATAACTTACATTGATAGAAACCATCAACATGTTTTCTTTATCGATATATCAATACCCAATACCCACAAAATATCAAGAGAAGATCCAGAAGTATACCGATCTCGCCAATGAAGTCGCAGCTCAGTGGAACTTCAGTAAAGTGACAACTGTGCCTATAATAATATCAGCTACAGGAGTGATCCCGGAAAAGGCACTTCGAGCACTGGAGTGTTTTCACTTGGATGCCAGGGATATATACAATATGCAGAAATCAGTCATCTTGAATACATACCATATTGATAGAAGCCACCTGAATCTTCAATAAAGCAACCGCACACCTGGTCATCATTCCTGTGAGTGGTTGACATACCGACCAGTAGATACTGTGAATAATAATAATAATAATAATAATAATAATAATAATAATAATAATAATAATAATAATCTTCTTTGGTCCTATCTTCCATATACGGAAGTTAGGTGACCCATAACGGGTTTTCTTGGGATAAATTATTCAGGGTGGTTTCCCGTTGCCTTCCCTGATATGATGATGATAGGTGGTGAAAGGACGAACACAATACAACCATGCCCGAGGCGGGACTCGAACCCGCGATCTTTCGTTACGAGCTACTGCAACGCTACTACACTACTGCCTTAGCGATCTCGGCCACCGGATCGGCAATAATAATAATAAAGGATTAAAATACAAAAACGAAGATGCAATTATCATACGATCACTAATATTAAGTATTATAACAATTATTTCAACTCTACTATTATAAACAATATTTTGGTGATACTAAAAATCAATACAAACTACATAAGTATTGACTAAATTAGATTTTTAAAGAAACATTGAATGCCGTTCACTACTTTTCACTACACTACACTGTTTAGCTTTGAATTACACTGACCAGCACTTCACTGCACTTGGTTACTCATTTAACACCTATTACTCTCAGCTTATTCTAACTTTCTGAAACTTCTGACACTTAGAGGCTTTAAAAGTTGCTGCGGGTAAACTGTTCCTATCCCTAATTTATCTGATACAAAATGAAAATATTCCAAGATCTGAATTTTGTTTCCGTGTTCGAATCTGTGTGTGTGGTTGGGGGGGGGGTCGCATCGGCAGAAATAATTTGGGTTTTCTAGTCTAACCTGAATTTTCTGCCAAGCTGATCGACCTACGTGTCCACAAAGCCTCGCACTTGTTCTTCTCGTTTCTAGAGGTTCCCACAAAATTGTTTATTGTGTTTAATATATAGATAAACTTATTCGCGTATTTAAGTCTGTATTTTATTTAATTTTTTTCGGTGCGACTTTCTGTACGGATCCCAACATGAGAGGTGAACCAGCGAAAGATACGCTAATTCTGTGGCGTTTATAGAACGTTTTTTTAGAAATAGCATTACAAAATTCAAGGACTTCCACGTTTTTCTCACTACTTGATTTATATGATTCTCCCACCATATTTTACTGTCTAGATGAATGCCTAAATACTTGCATGAGGCTCTTGGAATGATGACCTCACCTAAACGCAAGTCTAGTTCCTCATAATTTCGTCCCCGCTCGAACGTTCTTTTTTTTGCATTTCGATCCGTTAATTCCCAAGTCCTTTGTTTCAGCCCAATCACGTAAATGTTGTACATCCTGTTGTAATATTTGTGGCGCGTTGTCCGCGACTCAGATTTCCTCAATTTCTTCCTTATTTCCTCTGCGTCTGCGGACACATTTATGAAAGCATGACCAATTATTTCTTCCTTTCTCTAATATATTTTTTAAAATAATTCATGCGCAATTTTCTATTCTTTTTCTAATCCCTGTACTAATGTTTAAATAGTGTTTTTAGTAATTTTAAATTGTTTTTCATAGTTCCGGGATGAAATTTAACAAATTTGGTCTTATAGCGTGATGGCCTTCCAGATTCCAGATTTATCAACCAGAGATCGACCACTTAGAGACATGCTGCTGAATGACCCCCTCGTGTGGACCCTAGCGGGAGAAAGGGCTTATAAGGATCTTAAGGATGCGCTGACCTCGCCCCAGGTACTCAATCGAGCAATGTCAGCAACTGAACAGAGGTACCCTCAAATTGACAAAGAAGCACTTGCAATTGTATGGGAAGCACAAAAGTTCTTCAAATATCTGGACGCCCGCCACTTCACACTGATCACCGACCATAAACCGCTGACACAGATCCTTCATCCAGAAAAGTCTTTACCAGTGCTGTGCATCAGTCGCATGGCCAATTATGCGGACTATTTAGCACATTGACTACGACGTTCTCTTCAAGAAGTCAAAGCCAATGCAAATGCCGACTACTGCTCACTAGCACCGCTTCCATCCACTATCCATGCCATTAGGAACTCAATTCCGCTGCAGAGGGAAGAGGCGGAGGATTTCGATGATTTTTCGGTTCATCAGACGCAGCAACTACCTGTTCTCACGTCCAACCAATAGAAAAATCAGAAAGTCTTACAGCCAACAGAAACTCTTATTTTGCTTACGTTTATGTTCGACATTGTGAATACTCCAGTCTATCATTTATGTTCCTGTTTATGTCTATGCGCTATGTTCACGTTTGCATTGTGAATGGCCGCTTAGGGCTTGGTAAGCCCTGCGTTCTTTTGTTTCCCGTGTGGTCGGTCGGCCATGTTTCGCGCCGAGCTCCCTTCCTGCGGCCATAAATCCTTCCACGCACTTGAACAATTTAAAAAAATACGTCGCCACTGTCGGCATCCTCGTAATATGCCGCGGAACCCTGACCGTCCTTTGCGCCTACGGTTCAATTTACCAGCCTTCGAACGTTGCGAATTCAAGACGTTGTTATCAGAGCCGGCGTGTCGTTACAGTACACGTTTTATAGCGATAATCCATCTTTTGTGGATCATTTATACCTAAAAATCGATTAATGGCAAAACATCCGTTTGTGTGTCTGTCTGTCAGTGGTGAACGCTAGCGCCTAAACCTATTTTTCTCCTAAATTAATATTCCCCAATTAATCTGAACGAACCCAAGACTTTGGGGATTTCAAAAGGATATTTTGATTTTTGAGTGTACTTTATATGTCATTAACAACAGTTTCAAAATTTTCTCAAAAAATGGCTCAATTTTTTAATTAAACTTTGTACTCGGATAATGTAAAGGATGTTTAAGAGAATAGTGCAGGTCTCTAGTTCGTTGTGAAGATCTTTTCAATATAGTACTTGTAGGAAGACCCTCCAAAAAAAATTGTATTTTTCAAAAAATCAGGGATTTTAACGAACATGAGATATTCACCATTCGTTTAAGAATACTTCGGCGATCCTCGAGTTCAGCCAAATCGATCAAGGAATGTCAAATTTTGGAGAAAATCGTATGAACGGTTTAGGCACTAATGTTGACAACAACCGGAGATACGTTCCGTCGCAAACCAAAATTTCGAAATCGAGGACCCACAAACGTGGATATTTACTACACAATATGTTAGCGGAAGTCATTTAAAAAGCCTAGCAACAAGAATTTTCCTCCATTTCAAAATTTGGGACTGGCAAAACGTATTTTCCAGCGAAATATCGCGTTTTTTGCCGCAGCTTTACAATGCTTTCTTTATACTACGTTCAGGCTTATATGGCTCAGGGGAATCAACTGACGTCAGTGCCTCTGAGCTCCTAGGGCTCAAGTCCCAGCGGAAGAATGATTTTCGATAGCTAGATCGAATTTAGCCGCTCTGGGAAGGAGAAGTTTAGCGGTCGGTTGCTCTAATCGATAGTTTTCCGCGGTTTCTTCGATCAACACCCGGCGAATGCCGGAAGAATACCCCCAACAAACGTGCCACGTACCGCGCGGGATCTTTCCTTTCTCTTCCTTGTCCTATCCACTCCCTTACCTATAGTGCGGTTTTCATTTAGCTGCCTCTCAAGGCCCGTCTTCATAATGGAATATGTCACGGCATTTCGCGTCTTTCTCGACAGTGCCATTGGTGTCGCATGATTGCAAGCACTGCTTGATACGGTCACGATCATGGGACATTAGCGACACGACCGAGAAAGGCGCGAAATCCCGGTCGGATCTCGCCATCCACCAAAAGATCACCGCCACCTCGCGAGGAAAGACATGCAACACTTGCACTCGCTTGACAGCAAGATCTTAAGAAAGAGGGCATAAAGGAGTTGGTGTTGGGGGAAATGGTTACGTAAAATCGTAAAAAAAACAAACAAACACTAGTGATACAACAGCATATACGTTCTTGCACTATTTGTAACGGCTACGCAATATTGCAATCCTACCTGCAAACCCTATAAAATTATCTGCTTTTAACCCGGCAAAGTGCATCCATGCAGCAAAGCGTTTTATACTTTGTCTGTACAACATAAGGAGAGAAAGCATTGTAATCGTGCACCGCGAAAAGGCCAACGGGACTAGGCGTAGAGTCGTTTCTTTGCGTTTTCGGTGAAATTGATGAGTGACGCGAACGTCGCTTGCCGCACACTGGATCACTTCAATAGCATCAAGTATTTTACGTGTACTGTTTATTTAATCTATTAAACATTCATTTTTGTTGTATAAGGATAGTACCCAGCGGCGTAACAATGAACGCTGATCACTGGAATAATTTATTGCACGTGTGAAATAATGTCTAGTACATTATTCTCTGCGTCATGATAAATGATAGTTCCCTGCAGTTCCTTTTCTTAATATCATGAAATGCTAACAGTATTGCAGCTAAAACGTTATTTAATTATTTCTGGGCGGGCAGTTTGAACTGATGCTTTCGTCTATTTTATGTAGCTGCAAGCTGACAATTGAATTGGTGAACCTCCATAGTTCACGTGTTAGTGGACAGTCAATCAATCCTATGCTGTGTCCATGATTAACAGTAAGAAAATGGCATATGCCTCATGACTAACAAAAGTTTACTAATATGGTATAGGAAAAAAAACAACTTATGGTTCATATATATTAGCCTGTTAATAATATTTCTGAAAAAATATCAATCTGAAGAAATCATTTAAAACAAAACCATGTTAATATACTGATGTTTCTGGTGGAAAATATTTTTTCATCCCCCTCTGACCGAATTTAAGGATACAGCAATTATTTTATTTGTCTCTGCAGGGAATGCAAGTCGTAAGGAATGTAGGGACCATATGAACCTGAAAACTTGTATACAAGAAGGGGAGCCTGAAAGAGGTGACAGTGAGGGTAGAAGCGCAATTACAGCACTCCGCGATGACTAGGGCACAGGTACAAACATTAATATGAACTATCAGAATGAAATATATTGACAATGGTTCATCAGAATTGAATGCTTCTTCCTCTGATTGAAATTCTAAAGTATCTCCATTACTGAAATGAATGATATAAAGAAATTGACAGTAAAAGGAAGATACTAACAAAGGTCCATTTCAAACTTAACATGAATCAAGCTCTGTCTAATGACTAAGAACAAGACAGCATTTTAAATGTAATGAATGGGAATGAGTGGTTAAAGATTGACCCAGTAATCTCACATACACACACGCATGCTTGCGTGATATTTTATCGTTGTCACAGCTTATTCTTTCGTGAACATTTACGAGTTTTGTGATACAGGAAGGTAAATGTAGACATCAATTCTAACAGACTATGATTATTCTGTGAATATACAATGACCCCTTATTCTTCCTAACAAGATATTTAGGGAAAATCCTCAAGGTTTCATCCTTCCTTCTCACAATCTCATACCAATGTAAGATATTTGAACAATACTCTAATTATGTGAAGATTTCTAATTTTTTTACATATCACAAAATGACATTATCCTCCACATTTATGATTCACAATCAAGGCCAATATATTTTACTCCTTTACAAAATAAATGACAAAACTAAGAACAAAATAGACTAACATTTCTTTTTGTGGTACAGAGTTTATTTTACAGCTGATATATACAACAGTTTTAGGAATAAAAACTTGTATTGGTGTAGTTACATTTCATTATTAATGTTTTTTCACATATTAAAGTAAAAATAAAAGATTAAAGGTAATCATGAAATTTTGTAGTACACATAGTTTGAACTTGCTTTAACAAATCTTTCAGTTTTCTTTTTTAGTTGTTCCCCTCTTTGCATCACAGTATTGAAGTATAGTAGCAGTAGAAGTGTTCACTACAGTATCCATAGAACAATTTTGAATCTCTTTGAAAGGACACGAGTTACTTTGACTTATTCATTTATTCTTACTGAAGTTCATTTCACTGAAACTTGAAAATTTAAGTACTCTGACTTCAAACAATGTCTAATATAAGTGTGTATGCTTATGTAACAGAGTTGGATAAGAAATAAAATCAGCAAAACGGGAGGTACAATTGTGGCCACTCTTGATCAGCAAATGAAAATACATTTTCTTCATAAAATTAAATCTAATTGCTTGTTTTTATGGAAAATCTACGATGTGCATTATGACTGAGAACAAAATACTATTAGTATGCTTGCACATTCAATTTGTATTCAAATGACATTATATATCTATAAAAAAATTGTTTAGGTAAATATTTACACATTTTTATTTCATGTTAGTTTAAAATAATTTATCAAGTATTCTATATATTATATGCAATATTTAAATATGACATTCAATTAAACCCAACAGAATTAAAATTCTCTTTGTTTCTTTGCTGGTGCGAAGCTCAAAACTATAATCTACTTCTATCACAACCTCGAATTACTGACAAAATCAGTGATAAATAAATTAACTTACACAAATTTAATGAATGGATGGAGTGCACACTATGTTGTTTTTTTATCACATCAACAGACGACAATTAAGAGAAAGTGAAATTGTCACAATTTTTTCATACTGTACTTAGTTGAAGGAACCAACAGTATTTTAGACTCAACTAATAATACTATTTTTTTAAAGTGAATAGAGTATATAATAATAAGTAATAATTAATCCCATTTAGTATGTAGCTTCAAAATTCAGAGAAGGTTAATTCACAAGAATATATTCTTGCAAGACCATTCCAGTCAGAATTCTGGTTTCAAGCCAATTTAGTCTAAAATGAACATTGCAAGTACTCAGTTTTTCTGCAAGTACTATTATACCAAGCCATCTAGAAAGTTGTAAGATCCATTAAAATTATTATTGGTTGCTGCTTTTTAGGATTATGTCTTCTACCACTACTATGTAAACAATTCATAAGTTCTTATAATCACCATTTAATTAAAAAAGCAGCATGTCCCCATATTACTGAAAGTTACCAGTCCCAATTTCCAGACAAATTAAACCAGTAGAGAAGGAAAAATGAAAAAAACTTTCTTTCAAATTGAAAATGGTCAGACGTTTTTTAAAACATCTTTTAATTTTTAATTGAAATAATAATTGTACAAATAACTGCTCAAAGCTGAATGTAGAGCAGCCAGGCCTATGGTAGCAATACTATCAGAAATTCAACATTAAAAGAAATAATAATGCCTGTTTACTTTATACCACACCAGAATTTTGATTTCTAGTATAATTCTCAACAAAAACACATCTTTAAATATGAATTACTAAATTTCACTATTGGTTTTCATTTTCCTTTATCCTACACACACCATGATGCCAACAGCTTGTTTTCTCACAAACCACAAACCACCATTTGTTTGTAATGTATTTGGTTGTTTTCACACTTCCTGGGCTCAATTAGAGTCCTAGGAACATAATACGTGGGTCTTCAACAGCAGCTTTGACTTTGCGCAGGAAAAGAACAGCTTCACGTCCATCAATCAAACGATGATCGTAAGTTAAAGCAACATACATCATGGGTCTGATGACAACCTAGGAATCATCAAAATAAATTTTTAACTCAAACATGAATTTAAGAATAATACGAAAACTAAATCCACAAAGCAACTATCAAAACTGAAAAATTTCCAAACACATTTTAATATTCTTGTTTCTCATTTCCAAATTCACCAGTCCTAGTCTTGAATTGTGAATAATTACATTTTCTCTCCACTCAGATGTAAAACACTACAAAATTCACTACAGTAGTTACAACCACTAATGCAATGGTACATGTATGTTTAACTATGTAACACTGGCTGAAATTTTCTTTATTGATCATTCAGAAACAGGGAAATGCATCAGTATCTTTCATTGAAAATTCTGAACAAAGCCTTTCTTTATGTAAAGGAATTCCAAAAAGCATGAAAATTATTTCAATAAGGTTTGGAGAGTTAAACCATACAGTTGCTGTATTTTACTTGTTTCTTAGTGAGTATGTGATGTTCAATTTTAATTTCATTCAATAGCTATAAATCAATGCCCAGGCAATGGCATTTGCAACTCTATACTGACTAACAAATTGATATTTTACAAGAGTTTTCATGAAGCGATGTTGGAAAGAAGAAAACGCCCATCTCCACAAATTGCAAGGTCTGTTTCATATTCACAGGGTTGTTCCGCGAGATTGAGGAATATACATTTTCCGTAAAATCTGTATGGTTTAGGTGCTACATTTAATGTTGTTCACAGACAGAACATTTTGAATTATTATAATTATTTGTAATATCATTGTGATCCTCAACATTTCAACTATAAATTTTGCAAAAACTACTAGTGGTACTAATATAAACCAAAGTGTATCCACGAAAAGATTTGGAAATCTAATATTGAGAAACACTATGCATTAAAATTTAAAAAACAACAACTATTTTTAATGTTAAAAGTATAAGACATGCTATGAAAAATTCAATCGCAATATTTTTAGCAATTTTCATAATTCCAGAAAGAAAATAGGACCCATTCCATTATATTAAGCAAACTTGAACTAACTGCATCAAAATTTGAAGCAGTTTTCATGAACATCTTGTTTACATATTTTAAAAACACTGTCTTTATTACATACAAAGTTACAGAAAACCTACACATGCTCTCAAAAATTTGAACACATTATTGAAGATTAAATTCTGGAGAAAATATTTCATGAAGAAAAAATGACAAATGATCAAAATTTTAGTTGAAGGGGATTGAAAAAATTTTAACTTTTTGAAAATCCAGTCGTTTTAATAAAAATCATACTTGGACAAATTTTCATAAGCATATGTTCTTCTCTGTGAACATAATAATTAAAGGAAAAAATTTGAAAATGTCATTCTGGTTTCATTAAAAGTAATTCCAAAATTACATTAGCCATATCAATTTCAATGGGCCACAACATCAGCAGGATTCATACAAAATATCAATTTTGCTGCAAATCCTATGTATAGTTTTGGTATAGTGTTATTCACAGATGGGAGGACATTTGTTGAAAATCAATTTTTCGATATAATGGGACCCACAAAACATGGATTTTGACTATCTGTATTATTAACTTCAAAATCACACAGAAATTAAAAGTAAAGTTTGGCCATATGAGTGGTGGTGGTGGGGAAGTAGTTTGGATTTTGATTGAAAATGTGGACATTTTTTAAATTCATGTGTGGTTTTGTTGTTGTTTGTTTTATGTATTCGAATAAGTAAATTAACCACGTGGGAGCATAAAATATCCACTTTCTTAGTATAGAGACCCACGAAACTAGTTAAACCTGCCAAAAAATCAGCACATTTCATAGCAGTATGCTTAACTATATTATTTTTATAACTAATTAAAATTATTACTAACAAAGCCCATAAAATATCATTATAAACCCAATTTCCCCCCCCCCAATATATTATTATTCTTCCTATTATTGTTGTTATTATTATTCCTATTCCAAATATTATTATTATTATTATTATTATTATTATTATTATTATTATATTTACATAGAACTAGTGCTACTGCTGTTACTAATCATTATTAAGTTTGATTTATAATAATTTTATTAAATTATAGTATAATATATAATTATTTCTATTAAATTAATACTTTGACCTATAATTTCAAAAATCAAGCACTGAAGAGCCTAATTAATTGAATAAATGTACACTTCATAATATAAGTATAATAATTCAACTTGCATCATGTTATATATAAATTTATGATTATTATTCGTTGGTTACTTTGAGTAGGTGAGGCATTAATGTGGTAGTCACTTTCTTCAACTCTCATTCATCTAGTCCTGAAGGATTTCCACCCTTATGTTAATGACAAAACATCAGTTGAATCAGACTTAAACAATTCTATATGCAGTGGAGGTTAATTATCAAGGCAATATATGGTGGCACGAGGTTTCAAGCTGTGTTACTCGGTAAAAGCAGCTTTAGTTATATTCATGAAGATTTGCGTGGATTCTCATTAATGAAGTTAGGGCACAAACCTACTTTTCTTCAAATATTGTTTTGTACACCCTACTTTCACACCTCTCTGTGATTAAATAATAGCAAAATAAATTTTTGAACTTCTCTAACTTACCTGTCCTTTCACTGCAATTGGTCTATCAAATATCCCATGCATTCCAAGAATTGCTGACTGTGGAGGATTAATAATAGGTGTTCCCATGAGAGACCCAAATACTCCTCCATTGCTGATGGTGAAAGTTCCACCATCCATATCTTCAACAGCTAGAGCGCCTTTACGAGCTTTTTCTCCTAAAGCAGCAATACCTAGTTCAATGTCTGCAAAGTTCATGCCTTCAACATTACGTAGAACTGGTACCACCAAGCCCTAGTGAAAAAAGATTGAAGGTCATGAAACAGAAGAATTTTTATTAAATAACCATAAATATATAAACAAATACCTTAGGTGTGGCCACAGCTACTGAAATATCTATGTAATCACGGTACACAATATCAGTTCCATCAATGACTGCATTTACTACAGGTTGATCTTGTAAAGCAAATGCTGAAGCTTTGACAAAAGCAGACATGAAACCAAACTTCATGTTGTATTTCTTTTGGAATGCTTCTAAATGTTGTTTCCTAAAGTCCATAATATGACTGCAGAAAAGCACATATTTTTAAGAAATATACTTTGTGTTCATTCTTATATTTATGTTTAAATTGTTTTTACGTCAAAAGTACATTATTCATACTCGCCTCATATCAATTTCATTGAAAGTTGTCAGCATTGCGTTAGTATTTTGGGCCTCTTTCAATCTCTGCGCTATTCGCTGTCTCATGCGATTCATTTTAACTCGTTGCTCAGAACGAGTTCCAGATATCTCTTTCGTTGGATCAGCAGGAGGTACTTTCACTGTAGCAGCTTCAATAGCCTGAGCATGTCGTATTGCAGCAACAGGAATGGATGCCATCGGGGCAGCAGCTTGAGCTGGTCGTGGTGGTGGTGGTGGAGGTGGTGGTGGTGCAGCTGCAGGAGTAGGGGGCGGAGCAGCTGCGGCAGGTGGCGGCGAGGGTGCTGCTGCAGCTGGAGCTTCAGCAGCTGGTTGGGGAGCGGCTTTAGCCTTTGCTGGGGCAGCTCCTGAAATGCAAACAAGTCATACTAACAAGACATTGTATCACAACATGCGAGCAGTTCAAGCAAGATTGAAACTAGCTTGTTTGTTTGTTTGTTTGTGTGTGTGTGTGCATGCATGCGTTTGTATATTACTTATGGTTTGAAGATATACTGCCAAAAAGATTTTTCAGGTAGGAAGTCTTCACAAGCAATTAAAATTAAATACTGACAGTCACTATACAGTGGTGCTATTGGAACGACATCTACAGTAAAATTCAGTGGTTTCTCATGGTGTGCAATTTGTTATTGCAGCTTCCAAGAGTTTGAAATTAGACAGTCCTAGAAATTGAATTTGCAAGAGTCAGCAACACCAAGTAAGCTTTCCTAAATTGATTTTGTGGGGTAGCTAGGGACAAAAACAATAACATTACCTAATTCTTGCGAGGAGGCCTCTTTCAATATTTTAGTTCACTTAAAAAGACTGAACTAAACCATAAGTACCACATAAGTTGCTTTTAGTAAAATATTTTGGACAAATAAAACTATTGGCGATTGAGATGTAGATATAAAAACAAAAATTTAGATATACTACATTAAGATAATTATACAATCGCATAATAAATGTGATAGATTGTTGACTCTTCCCAAAATCCAATGGCTTTTGAGAACATAGCAGACCTAATGTTTGATACACATACAGCTGGATTTCAAGTTTCAGTATAACTAAATGTGTATAACAAGTTTCAGATGAACTACATTAAATTCTTCTATGGGACATGGCAACTATCGCAAAATAGCCTAAAATTTCACTGATGGCCACTTCAGGTTCTCCCTAAAATCATTCCGCAAGACCACACACCTCACTTTGAAAACGTATTACGTATTATTAAAGGAATTAAATTATGTTCATTATATTCATTAAAATGAATGATTAATAAGAGTGTATGATTTCCTCCCATTCTTTTTGACAGGTTACCTCTAGTATTAAACAGTGAAGTGGTGCAACACTAAGTGAACTACCACCACACAGAATTTTATTCAAAATGAAAATTTTTTGATTCATTTGCTTTTCCACGAGACCCTGCAAATTTGAAATAGATCTTCCAATTTTGGGTAGTACTTTTAAATGAAGCTTTTCACATTCATTTTGACATTGTCAAATATTCTCAAAAATCTGTTTTGTTAAACTTATTGAGTTTCAAAATCAGCAAAAGTTCAGCTACCTTCGAACCTCTCCTACATATTCATTACTGAAAATTAACATTTTTCTTAATGCAATGTTTTGTCACTTTTAGCACTCCAAATGTTTTCATGTGCGGCTTTTTCAAAATATGACTAGTTATCATAAAATTTTGAATTGTGATCCAAAAATTATATAAATAAGTTTTCCTCAAAATTCAACTCCATATTTTTTTCTTAAAATTTGGATACAAAAAAATGCAGTAAATTGCATGGCACAAGTGCTATTTTCATTAAAACTTAAGAGTTATTAAAAATTACACAACACAGTAACAACATTTCTTCTCAGGAGATAAAGATGCATTGCGTGGAGGGAACAATGCATTTCTTTTTCCACAGAAGTCATTGAAAATTTAAAAATAAAAATGCGAAACAGACTTCAAAATATAAATGTAACTGTATTGCAACAGCATATACTCCCTCACGTTATTTGTAATAGTCACACAAATTAATATTGCAACTTGAATCCTACAATAATTCAACCATGTCTAAGAAATTTCACCAAAGTGGAGATGAAAAAAATACAACAAAACATTTTTTAATTTTAATATAAATAGCACTCCTGCTATTTAATTTGGAGTACTGTCCTTTATCATTACAAGCTTTTTCTTGAACAGATTTTAACAAAATTGAAAATGATTAAAAGCAAGAGAAAATAAACAAAAACCAGTTGTATATTCAAATTTTTAACACATTTATACTGAAAAACAACACAAACAACACTAGTTAATTTACATGTTACACTTCTTAAGCAATAGGCCTTGAAATAAAAATATCTGCTTTAAAAAAAATTATGTGGGGAAAAAATATTTTTACAATGACATGCACCAGGCACATGCTTACCAGTAACCTTAAGCTTAAATAACTGCTGTCCTGCTTTGACCGTGGTTCCATCCTCAACATAACGTTCTTCAATTATTCCAGATGCTGGCGATGGAACAGGCACTGATGTCTGGAATCAACCAAATAAGTTCTTTTTATTCAGTTACATGGCGATGCATTAACAAACACTAAAAGTTTTAATACCTTATCTGTTTCTATTTCTAAGACGACTTCATCTTCTGCCACAGCATCTCCCACAGCTAAAGAGAGATCATGATTAGGTAGAAGCAATTACAGTCTTGGTATTTCTTTGTTAAGAATTTCCAGTACATACCTTTCTCCCACCTCACATCACCTTCAGATACAGATTCTGCAAAAGGTGGTACAGTCACTATTTTTATTTCTTCACCTAAAAAGTTTAAGAAAATATATTATTATACATGATCTAGTCCAATACCATTTGAAAATAGTAATGCTGCTGCACATCCATTTTAAAGAATCTAAAGAAGCAAATTTTGCAATTTTTTAAAATTATACATGTATCTTAAATGTAATAATTATCATTAACCCTCTGATGTAGAAACAGGGCCTTTTAAGGCCCAGTCCCTAATTAAGTTTAACAATTACCAAGAAATAAAAGATTTTGAGAAATAGTCACCGCAATATTCTTCTACCTCCTTCTAATGTCCTCTATGTTTTTCACGACATTTTCCCATTATCTTAAAAAATAAAAATTGTTTCATTACAATAGTAATACTTTACAGAAACGGGGCCTTTGAGACCCTATAAGCACCCCTCCCCCTAGAGATAAGAGATTTTGGAAGGATATTTATTGAAAGATTATATTAATTGGTAATAGGCTAATTTTAGGTCTCGTATGACATTCTGAAAAGTAAAATGTGTGTGTGATATTCTATTGCAGGGATGGTATTGTGAATAAAGGAATAATATGTTCATTCAATATACTTAGGGTCAGTTCTTTATTCATTATTTGGCGCTTGTATTTGTTTGCTTGTCAAATGGGTGTTGTAAATTGATGCCAAATAAAATAAAGGCCTAGCAACTAGATTGTCGAGCAGATATTTTATTTATAATAGTTTAATAGTTTCAGTAATGAATATATTTTACTGGAACCAACATTTTCTTCTATATTTTATAAGTTTATTTCATTTGGAATTCCTGAAATAATATTATATGAAGAAAAAATTCATGAGCACTGAATGACAGATTAGTGACTTAATGAATTTAGTGGTGATTATGAAAACAATCCTTTTAGAACCTGTCAAAACTAAGAGAGGTACAAGGTATTCAAATGAATTGATACATTATAATTGGAACTCTAGATGCTTCTACAGCCACAATGGTGGGGAAGAGGATGGTATTCATTGAGATTCATTCTTAAGTGCAAAATATTTTGAATTTTTTCATTTCACAAAAAACACCTTAATTTACAGCTTTTTTTTTCTTTTTTTTCTTTTTAAGGTCACATCAACTTCTAGGTTATTAACGACCATTATTGCTTGTAACGGTGTAGTAACTGTGAGGGTGACAAGATATGATTATAGGGGGTGAAAGAACGAACACAATACAACCATGCCAAGGCGAGACTCGAACCTGCGATCCTTCAGTCTGAGATCGTTATGGCACTACTGCCTTAGCGATCTCGGCCACTGGATCAGCAAGGATGCTTTTGTTTACAAGCAAATGAAAGAAGAAATGGTACTCTGTACAAACACTGAAGTTGATAGTGTGGATGTGACAAGAAAAATGCAGAGGAATAATATTCATTATTGAACAGTTTGTTGCATTCTTGAATGTACTACAATGTAATATTCAGCTCATGATTGTGGGTATCAACTCATTTTTTGGATCTATAAAAATTTCATGATTTGAAGACATGAAACTATTAATTTGGATTTAAGGCAAACAAGAATGAAGACTACAAACAGTAGTGTGGACTCTTCGGACATATAGTCGCTCTCCAGTGAAAACTAACAGATCATTTAATCCTTATAGAGTGCCACCGTAGACAAAAAAATGCAAGATTTTTGTAACAGGTCCCCTTTTATTATGCAGATGCGCAACAAATTCGTACATTATAAAATCAAATTATTTGGATGTCTGAATCTAACTGAGTAATAACATTATCTTGGCCAATCAAGTCATTCACTAAAATACTTAGAGTGTACTGCAGGGAAAATTAAATACATACTTTCTCGTATCATTTCTAACTGTTATACAGTAGAACTCTGCAAATCCGAAATTTTGGATAATCCAAACAACATTCGGGATGAAGGAAAAAATAAACAAAAAACACCTGATTTGTATTAACTTAATTTATGAACGAAAAAGCATGAACACAGCAATGTCAACCCATTTCTGAATACTGTACATAGAATACCCATTAACAGTAGTGACAAACTCTTCTTAACAATGTAACAACTGTTACTGCATGTGATTGCGTATGTACGTACTGTACTCCATTTTTCGCAACATTGCCACTTCATGTCGCTACCTTATGTTGCTATTGTCTTGCATCACATGCTATGTTACATTGTCTTGTAATCCTACAGATGTATTTGTATACGTGGGGTACATTTTTTTGGATAATCTGAAGAGACCATAACTGCCATTAGTTTGGAATACTGAGATTCTATTGTATTATATTATTAAATAAACTTGCAAAAGAGTTTCCAACCAGCAACAACTGATTTCCTTTCTGAGACTCGAAATCAGATCCTCAGAGTTAATGTGTTGATCCCCATACCACTACGCCACTGAAGCGCTGTATGTTAAGAACCTTGATAAGGGTGAGAAGTAGTAATATTCGGAACTGTTAAGAATACCATGAAAAACAAAAGAAAAACTAAGTAGGTACTAAGGGTAGTGTTTACAATGTATAGATTCTCGAATCCTCAATAGTTTTCTGTAACAACACATTAAAATCCCTGTGTGAGACTAACAGGTGCTTTTGGTCCCAAGTGCTGACGCAAGCATTAGGGAATCAAAAAATTGAGAAAATGTGACAAAATGTTCTTTGGGCAACAGAAGAAGGCAGCTGGGAAAAGAATAAGACCTAAACAAAAAGTTAGTTCAGACTAGAGAGATTAGGAAACTAACTAGTGGGTGAAAGTCTGTGACATTCTCTAGGACCACTAGTTTATTTAATTACCGTATGTTGTTTACATACAAGGAGAAACTTTGTTGAAAAAATTTCATGCAGCTTTTCAGAATAATTTTTTTTAGAAATTGCATAAATTCCAGACACCAAGTGAAATCAGTTCGTTATAAAAAATGTTTATGACCTTAACAACAGACTTACTTCAAAGCAATAATCGCTGTTTTGTAGTTTTGAAATATTCACAGTTTTTTGCCATTTTCGAAAAAAAATGGCAAAAATTGCCAAAAATGGGACAGCATGATATATTTTGGCCTCTTATTACATAACAGGAGAAAATTTAAAGAAAACAACTGCCTATATCTCATGCAAAATTACGCAGAAACAACTCGTATTTTCAAAAAATTGAACATGAACTTATTTGAAGGTCGGTCTTTAAGGAACAGATTAAGAAGAAACAGAACAGAAGAAGGAACAGAACAGATTAAGGAATAAAATCTCTATCTTCACTATTATAGTTGTAGGAAGATGCACCCAAAAAATTGCGCTTTTTCAATATTAAAATAAAAATATGCAATTTCAAGGAACATGAGACTACCACCAATCTCTTAAGTGTTCTTTACGCTACTTGAAGACAAAGTTTTATCAAAAAATGGTTAATGGTTTAGGTGCTAGCGTTGATCACAGATGGATGAATTGACGGACAGACATATGGAAGTCTATTTTTTTGTATCAAGAACCAACAAAACTGATTCTGGTTACTTCACATGTTAAGAGAATTTTCCCTCTAAATTTAAGAGTTTCATGGTAAGAGTTTTCTGGCGAAAATTTGCCATTTTCTGGTGCACTTAACTTAATCTTTTTATGAAGTTCCTTCGTAAGACGAGAAAGCAAAAAAGAAAAAGAAAATAAAAAAAAAAAGATAAGAGGAGAAAATAGAGGGGGGGGGGGACAAAAGAGTTAAGTATAAAAGCTAGTGGTGTGTGTATAAGAAAGAGAGTAAGTTGACAGTGTATGAAAGAGGATGAGAGTGAGTTGGAGGGTGTGAGTGCAAGATAAGAATCAAAAAGACCATTATTATTGAATAACATGACATATAGGTAAATGTAAACAAGTTCTAAATGAGTTTTACTCACATAAAATGGCAGATGACCGAAAATGCTGAATGCGAAGATGATGATTTTGAATATCTTGTTCAAGTCTATCAAAAGAAAAATACTCTTTAGAAATAATTATTTTTCATCCATGCAAGGTACATTCTACTTTCTCTTCAAAGGCTTTATTCCACAAGAAGAAACGTTTCCAAACCAGTTTAAAGGAATAATTTTAATTCTCCTACCACAACAAGAAATAATTCAGTAACATTTATTTTATTAATTCCATGGATCATCCACAAAAATTTACATTCTTTAGAAAGTTTCTAAAGAGATTATCCAATAATTTTCAAGTACTAGTTTTTTCAAAAAACAAATCTTTAAGTTCCTCAATAAGATCCAATGTTCCCAGCAAGTAAAAATATACACTAGTCCTAATAATGATAGTTTGTGGCACATTGAAAGTTTCAAAATTACAATTATTTAATGAACAATTTTAAAGGAGCAAAATCCTTCATAGTACCTTGGCTTTTTTAGTTCACAATTGATTAGAAGAAAAAACTTAACTTCAAGAGGTAACATTTTGCATTTAAAAAACTCAGAAATGAAATCAATGTATCTCCTCTTCATTAAATTTACTCTGTAAATACTATGTTTCTATGTTATGTTAAGCAAAAGTAATGTTGTTTCATTATATTAAACAGCAAAATTATGGCCCTTTATTCAAAGAACATACACCTTAACAGTAATGCCACACGAGATATTAAAAAGTAATTTCATAACAATACTTACTGAAAACGTTTTCCTCCGGCATTGCTACCTAATCGACAAATCCAACTTCGAAATGCACGCCCTGAAAAAAAAATTATTAAAATGTAAAAGATGGAACTTTAAAAAATAATATATTACTCCGGTAAAAAATTGTCCCATACACATGCTTATGAGTTCTTTAGTTCCATCTTTCAAAGGATAACAGAACCTAATGTTATTTCACTAATTTTTAATAATATTTGCATGTGAGATTAATCACACATGTAATATTAATTTGTTTACAAACCAACATTTTGCTCTTTCTAGCCACACCCAAGACTCGCACACAACTAAAACTAACTATAAACCAGTCAATGCCAAGATGCAAAGAACATGTAGTTAATTGCTTTAGTCTATACGGTTACAGATTTGAATCCCATTAAGGGAAGTTTTTTCCACTTTACTTACAGCATTTGTACACTTCATCAACAACTGTCATATCATCTAATACTGTATGCGTAATAACCCTACTATTATCAAGAATACAACTGAAATGTAGGAAAAGTAGGAAGAGATTCTAGGAAAAGAGTCACAAAAAGGTGTATAATCATGAATTAAATTGAAAAAGAAAGAAAATTTAAAAAATTAAATTTGTGTAAAATCTACAAAACCATCTATAAGTTCTGAATTATAAAAAAAATCCAAAAAAATGAATGTTGTTTTAGAACATGGCACAGGTAAAATCTAAAAAATTTTAACAGGCCAGGAAGCATAAGATCAGGTCAATAACAAGTTAAGAGATAAAAACTGATAATTTCACATTACAGAAGGAAAAGCCACATTTCTGAGCAAGTGTTTAAATCTCAATAAACAAAGGATATTTCAAATAGTTTGGGCTTGTGTATTAAAAAAGTGACCAATCAGATAATACTAAAGATTGTATATATAAAAATAAATAGATATGACACACAATATAGGTACTCAGAATTTAGATAATGGTAAGCCACCTCAAGTGACGTTTAAGGAGAGGAAATAGAAAGTTTAAAGAATTTTGCAAATCAGGCAATCAAGAAGCATATTGATTGTATTAAAAGGTACTACATACCTTACTACATCATACATATTATTTCTATAATGTGTTATGAGTACATCCTTTTCCCAGATGAACTACTGAGCCAGTGAACCATGCCCAGATTAACTACTAATAAGATAGTCCATATGAATGTCCCTGATGTCTGCATGTATAGTTTACATTTCATAAGAAGTCAACATCGAGCACAAGTTTATAGTAAGGCGGGTACTATCAAGGTCAGGCAAGTCAGCACAGTGATGATGATGGTGGCCACGAGCATGGTGGGTTTGAGCAAGGCACGGTAGAGTAGAGTAGAGTAGAGTAGGGCAAGGTAGAGTAGGGCAAGGTAGAGTAGAGCAAGGTAGAGTAGGACAAAGCAGGGCATGCCAGACCTGACTAGAGAGAGGATACACTACAGACAGAATGTATTCCTTTTCCTGACTCAATAGATGAATAAGGTAAATAAATACAAAGGCAAGTAAAAGGATTCAGTCTTAAATATCCTGTGCAATTGAATCACATGGATTTACATTTTATAAGTAAATTATTATACCACTGCCAGTGGTGTACCAACTTCCAGCAGATACGGAAAAGGTATCTCCATTTAGCATTTTGAGTGGCTTATCAGTGTCTAATGCCAAGAGCTTAATTATAGTGCAACAAGCCCATGAACAAAAGCAAGTTCAACATGAGCAAATACAGGTAATATGGCAAAATAACAGAAAATAAACAAATTTATTACAATCATATGTGCCATGTTTTAATGCTGCTGTAAGTCAACCATTAATCATCAAAGAATGCTAGCACAAATATCTATGACCCCAGCATTAAGAATTTATTTCTCAACAATGTGTTAAAATTAGAATAACTGACATTTTGCTCATTGTTTAGAAAATATTTAAAAAAATAGAAACATTTGATCACAATTTGAGACACAAAAATGAAAATTTCATTACGAATATTTCAAACTGAATATTCCAGAGCCAGCCAATTGGGCATGAGAAACCTATCTTATTTGCAACATTCACGCATAGACAAATCAGAAATTGCTGACGATTTAGAACTGCAAATCTGACTTCAATATTACATTAAAATTTCAGTATTGACATGAATTTAAGTTGCAATTTCAAGACCAACAGGGTTCTTTCTTACATAAATTAGTGAGATACTAGTCATTTCTAAAATTAGAAGATTAAAGTTTTCAGCTTAATTTTAATATCATGCTCCACATTTCTGACTTGTCAGTAAGATTACCTGCTATGATGAGCTATGAGCTTACTTCACTGGTTCATTTATAAAACATCAACATAATATGAAAATTTGCTACATCTTCATCATTTCAAGCTTTAGTAGTCAAGATTAAATTATCAAATCTGCTAATGTGGCAAAACATCTTTTTAAAAAAATGAAACCTAGACTTAAAACTCAACAAGTACATGAAAGCATTCCAAAATTTACATAAGAATATACACCCAAGCTTTCAAGCAAATTAACTCCACTGTCACTGCAGGTAATCTTGCTTAACATTCCAGCCTGACAAAATTATATTTTGCCAGGTTGTGAATATTCTTCACCATGCAATTTTTACCAAATCTTACCTTGTTGATATGATCTTGTTTTCACAGTAATCTGAAAAAAAATGTAATGAGGGGCTTAAATGTCACTTTAACATAAGCAATTTTATTTTAAGATTTCAAAATGGGCATTGCAACAGCTGTAATAACTACAATAAAGCAAACGGAGCTGGCACACACACTTCACTTTTATTATCTCTTAGTACTTCCAAGTCATGCTTAAACATCAATGCAGGAACGTATGCAGTGATAAAATTAATGCAAAAGAAATATACTATAATAACTTCCACAATTCATATGTGAATTTGTTACCAAACTTTCATAACTATAACACATTTTCACAAATTTCAAGCATTAAACAATTGTCAGAAAGAATCGCATTCAATCATAAGCTGAAACCATCATTAGAGTACCTAGCAGTACATTAAAAGGATTCACTTCACGAATAAATATCATGAGATAAGCTTCTTTGGACAATACCTGCATATTAATGTAATTTGAGAATTAAATAAGCACCATTTGCCCTTTTATATTGAATGAAGTAATTAAGTAATAAAGTACTGAACCCTCCTGATCAATATTTATTGGATTGGAACTCTTCCACATTTCTTTAGATGTGTAATACTAGCTACACAAAGGCTTTTATTAACAAAAGTAAAAACATTATCAAACTGTAATTAAGATGTCACACTCAAAAATAAGGTAATGACTGAATTGAATGATTAGAAAATCAAATAACCCATAAAAATAACAAAAAAAATTTAAGTATGAGTGTGCCTTCTGACAAGAAAATAGTTAATTAATAATTAATCCAAAGTTTTTTTGTTTAAAGGTATTATTACACAAATTGAAAGAGAGCTTCAGTAATTATTTTGATCTTATCCCATTGTTAGACAAAAGACATTCACATGCAGGCAACATATTCATTACAAAACATACTATGTAAATCAATAAATCACTTCAACACAGTAATTTTCAGAAACATTCTCACAAATGTGGAAACCATATAAGACACTCCCTCAGAGCACCAGATGAGCCAAGCCTAGCACTTCTTTTACAACTTATCAGCATAGCAACATTTATAATCAAAAACTTTTCTCATTTTCTAATACTTTTGCAACTATGTCATGTACGATAAAAAAAATTAATCGACCCTAATCCCGGTTATGCAAGGGCCAACACCAAGCGCCTATAATAAGATACTGATTGCACTCGCTTATAACCTTGCCGATCATTCCACTAAAGAAAAGTATTTACCTGGGAATTTTCTAATTCCCAAATTCTTGATGTGAATCTTACAACATTCCGCGGTAAACTCCGCGATGAGAATTGTAACATCCCAGCCATGAGTTCTAATTTTCTCCCAACCGCACCGTCCTACTCCGTCCAGACCACAGCCCCCAGCTGCCCCACACTCTCTCTGCTGCTATCGGAATGGGCTCTGTTCCAGAATGACGAAACAAGAGAAGGTCGAAACTGTCAGAGTAACCAACATATCCCAACAATTCGCCCGCATTCCTTTTTAAATATACCTGAATTTCTCAAATGTTTTTATTCTTTCTCCTTAAGATCTTTCCGGGCACCACTCGTTCTGAATAATGACGATTGTTAAATGTTTCTTGTAATCTACATCACTTGTAATCTAAATAATTGCTGTGAATTTGCCAGTTTTAAATAACTAAAATATTTCTAGAAATGCAAATGTTTAATATGTAGAATTCCTTGACTTTCCCAACCATTCTCATTGTTGCATTATTGAAACTGGAAATTTTTAGCCAGCATAGGTTTGTGATTGTTAAATAAAACCGCAAATAGATCACAAGAATTTTTCACAAATGTTTTGATACATTTTATTTTCATCATAAAGTCCCAAATCTCAATTCAGTTGGGATAACTTTCACTAATTAGCGAAATTATTATTATAACTTCTTAAATGGGCAGCAAGACGAATGATTATGAGTGAATGAATGAATCAATGGATGATGATGATGAATCAAGAATGAGTGAATGAATGAATGTTGTAATATAAATTGATCTTCACTATCTCAAAATGCTATTGTTTGTATATAGATTTATTTACGTGCTTACACAATTTATGGAACAAATTAACTCACACAATAAATTATGGTTGATGTTTGATTTCTTTACCTAATTGCCTTTTCATAAAATAGAGTACGTAAATATTTGTGACCTGTATGGTAAATGCTCATTTTGATCATACAGATATTTGGTGCCCTGCTCTAGGGGAGTGAAAAAGAAAGAGTAAAATTATCATAGTAACACATCAGTATCATTTTCAAGAGATAGATGAATGATGACCTAGACGTACACACATTAAGGGCCTGTGCCCCCCCCCCGAAAATTTTTGATTGCTTTTATTAGTGACTTACAGTGTTTTTGAGCGCGTCAGTAGTGCCGTAAGTGTTGTGCATGTTTTATCGCGGGAGGTGGCAGTAATCTTCCCCGACCCATGGCTGCTTCCGTTTTCCCCATCCAGATATCTCCCACCAGTTGGAGCTCCGCCTCGGCCGGAGCAAGCTCTAAGCTTCAGACTGGTCTCTCGACATATGTAGTAGTATATCGCAAGAGGAAGGAAAGATCGAGTGCTGACCGTGGTCTACTTGTTGAAGTACTTCTTCGGCATTCGCCTGTTATTGATCAGAGAAACCACGAAAACTACCGATCAGAGCAGGAGGCCGCTAGAATTCTCCGCCAGACAGCGGCTGAATTCGATCAAGTAGGTAGTGTCGAAAATCCTGTCACCGTCGCACACATCATCTTCGTGTCTCTCGCTGGGCACAAATGCAAAGATCAGCTTTCTTAAAAATCAATATTACTTCGAAGTACATTAACCAGAGCCCAAGAAAATGTGTTTGAGAACTCACACAGTAATGGGCACGATGTGGCAGCGTCCAGAATTCAGCCGTCGGTGCGCCTCCATTCGCAATTCAGCAAGCTTGTGAATAAATGTCTTTACTGTTCTCTGCAAGCTAAAATTCAACTGTGTCGACATGAAACTCCCTGACGCAGTATGTCGCTCTCTGGTAACTCAAATTCTTGAAGGTATTTCCCAAAATTATACTGATAAAAACAATTATTTTAACATTATCCTTCATTTAGACGGATTTTGCATGATACAAAGTTTGTGTGCCTCCACAAAAAAAGCTCACATTTTGGTTTTCAAAATTGTACTGACTCGTTACTACATATTTCCTCTCTGCCCTGGTACAATATTTCGTGCAACTATCCGCAACTTTGTGAGATACGTTCTTATTTTGTAGGAACAGCACTCTCGCGCGGGGTTATCACCCAGAGGGAATAGTTCCAGTTCGTGTGTAGAGGAGTTGGCAGTCACAATGTCTTGACAGTAGAAAATAATAATAATTTATTTCATTACATCATGCCGCACTTGGAACTTAAAATCTCGAAGTTAACCAAGAAGAAAATTCACACGAAAATTTGGACATTTTGTTACAATATCACAAAGCGTTGGAATGTCACCGTATAGAATCATAGCTGTCAAGTATTCATGGCCAGGGAAAAGTTCTGACTATCGAAACGTTCTAAATACCCCACTACGAGACGAGGAAGGCCTAAAAAGCTCTTTCATGAAAGAAGAGAAAGAGGAAACAGGTGACACTGAAGGGCGGGAGTTTAATTTCTTAATAAAAATCTTACGTAAACTATACGCCACCAATTGGTGTTTCCCACGTCAAAAGTTAAAACCCCTTCATGGTCACTAAGTTTAAGTCAAAGTATCATTAGAGAAACTCACTCACTTGGGCGCAGGAATCTTAATGACTAATGTATTTAAAAAGGAGTACCAAAATTCGTTCCTGTTTTCGGTCAAGCCCACCACTTCCTTCTTTTGTCGTGATAGTACTAACAAGGGCGTCTTTATCAAGCAGATGTGTTCTTTCAGGGTATTCGGTCCCATGTGTGTGATATCCCGGCATCTAACTCAAAATACCATGAAAAGTAGAAACTTTTTGAATAGGCATGTTTCAACTTTTGAAAACATGTCAGAATTGTCACGAAGATGTATATTATTAAAATGGTAGGTAGAGGTATGAATTAAAATATCAGTATAACTAGCGGCTCGCGACAGTAAAAATGCTCCTAAACAAATCCACACAAAATGGTTTTCCAAAACATTGCACGCACACCGCTCAAGAAAAACAAATAAAATACTCTCGTATAACACTGCAATAAATTACATATTTTAACAAAAACAGTCTTAGGAACAATGCAATAACATTGAATAATATATTTGGATACACTCTACAACAGTTCTTTACATACAAAGAACAGGCCCGGATTACGCACGGAGCGGAAGGTGTGGCCGCTATGCCCCCCTCCCCCGTGGGGGAAATGCGCTCCAATTCTATATTCTCGATTGATTGAATGATTAATGATTCCAGGCACGTCAACGGCTAGCGACATTAGTCCCGTAAGTGTAGTGTATGCTTTTCCTCGTGCTGTGGCTGTGATCTTCCCTTGCTAGATGGTAAGATCCGGCGCCGATCTATCGTCGGCTAGCGGAGTTTTCCGCTACCTGGTATCTCTCTTCAGCAGGGAACCACCTCAGCCGAGACAAGTTCTAAGCTCCCAACTGGTCTTTTGGCATATGTGGTAGTGTACTGCGTGTTAGTGTGTGTTTAAGAAAGGGGTGAGGATAGGACGAGGAAGAGGAAGGAAATATTGCGCGTGGCCCGTGACCCGTTTGTTAGGGTACCGCTCCAGCATTCATCCGGTGTTATTCAGAGAAATCAAGGAAAACAACCGATCAGAGAAGCCAGCCGCTAGAATTCTTCTGAAGTCAGCGACTGAACTTGCTGACAAACCAGTGTTGAAAAATACTGCCACCGTCGGGACTAGAACCTAGGACCTCCCGGTCAGAGGCAATGCAGTGACATCAGTGAATTCCCTGAGCCACTTCTCCGGGTCTCTATATTCTCGAAGCCAGTAATCATTGCTGCATGCAGTGATAATGATACGAACGTTTGCTCTGTGCACTTTTGTCCGGAGACCTTCCCAGACATTAGCAATCAGATTGTGTAAAACTGTTTGTCGGTCTTCGCTAAAACCGCGACCTTGCTCGTGCAAGTCACATTTGAAATTACGGTGAGTTGTGAAGCTCTTGGAAAGGTGGTACAGCATTCTAAACACTTCGAACTCCTCAGAACAAATGTCTACTACCTTTCCTTGCCTGCTCACAGAAGGAGATATCCGTTGCCAAAATATTCTCTCAACGTTGCATTGGCAGCAATCCGTCCACTTTTGAATGTCCAATCCGAATCAACGTGAAAAATTATCATCGGCGATTTTCCCCTCTATTCCAGCCTGGAGTCTGGAGACTGAAATGTTTCTATTGATAGCTCGATGGCCCATCACTGAGAAATAGACTCGTTCTTCTCTCAGTGCGTTCGTCTTGCTCAAACTTGATTCCCGCGATACTGTTGGTGGAGAGAGTAGCAGCAAAGCAGTAGTTGAATTAATCGAAATGAAAAAAATAATGATTTCGTCTAAATTAAATGAGCCCACTTAAAAACAGAACAGGAAGCTCCATTTCACCTTTTTGGAAACGTCTGCCTGTCTGTTCGTCTGTAGGCACACTAGCGCCTAAACTGTACAAAGGATTTTCTACAAAATTGATATTCCCGATCGATCTGGCCGAACTCGAGGCCTTGAGAATTTTAAACGGATATTATTTTTGGGAAAATTTAACATTTAGCCCGAAGGACAATAACTTAAAATTGGACGAAACCTTGACAGAAATTTGAATCAAGAAATGGAAGTTATTTTAGTACGAGTTTTATTTTGCACGAACTTGCACGTTTAGGGGTTACTGAACGAAATTGCACGTTTTGGATTATGCTTCTTAAAATTACGCATGTTGGGGTTTTACTAGAAGAATTAGCTAGATTTATAGTTTTATTGCATAAAATATAATTCTTATATTATCAACTTGTTGTAATTTACCTTTTTTAAAGGTTTCATTTAAGAAAAAAGATTTTTGACATAACCCAGCAGTGCATTCGGTTGATCTGTGAAATCCAAGTGCCTTTTAATATGAATCAATTCTGTATCATGCCGTTCAATGTGTATCATTTTGTTCCCCTATGAACTAAGTGTCTTTCATAATGCCTATTTTCTAATTAAAATTTCTGAAGGATTGCAGTTGGGAGTGGGAATACGCAGTGTTGCCACGAACTCGTTCCGCGGCCCTTGCTGACGACCGCTCAGCCAACGCTGTTCGTGGTCTTTCTTCCTAATCGGATCATATATCCGTTTTGTCTGTCTTCGCTGAAATTAACAGCACGAGACTGCATGCGCGAGTCACATTTAACCTTACGTCCGGGCGCGAAGCTTAGCGACAAGCTAGGCTACGTTTCAAATTCATCGAATTTCTCGCTCTTTCTTCAATAAAGGAGCAGATTATGTCTTGCGAACGT